GAGGCGGAGCTTATCAGTAACTAAAGTCTGTTTCAATATATATCAATATAGAACAATAGCATTATCTGCATCATTGGTTATGTGAAGGCAATTTTAAAGTAGCATACCTATGTAATTTTAATAATTTCATACATTTGTATATATAATATATTAAAACGTGAAAAATGTTCCTTGTGCAGTGTTGAAATAGATAAAATAAATAGGATATTGAATGAGTGCAAGTTCAATACTGAATTTATTGCACGAGGTGAATAAAATTATATTATGCGAGCATAATATTATTTTATTCAACGAGTGCAATAAATTCAGTGATGAGCTTACACGAATTTAATATTCTATTTATCACATACCCAAAATAAAGACCGTTTAAAGTGAAATAAAGTCATTTTTCATTGACGCGCATCTTTTACACTATGTTTGTATAACGCTAATGGCATCACGCGCCCGTGCAATATCATATTTACGGAGTCGCAAAATCGGCACGGGTGTGTGATAATAATGTTTAAGGAAGAACTCTATGTATATTTATATATGTATACGTTTCGGCTGAAGATATGCGAAGAAACATAGAGTTTGTTATTTCTTAAACATTATTATTTTATCTATATAGAATATAGAAATCAACTCCAGTTTCAATTAAAAAATGTTATATTTTATTTGTAAAATATTCAACGTTTTTTACTCAAAAGTCTTCATCAGGTATACTTCGTTTACAGGAAATGACTTCAACGTCATATGACGTCAAGGACAACGACGTCAAAATGTAATACATAATTTGTTGGCGTATAAATGTAATATGTAGGATCTTGATAAAAGATACAAAACACTGGTAAAGATGAAGTAAAAAACAATGTAAAATTAGAAAACCAGGATAAACTACATATTGACATGAAATTAGTTTTAATTCATAAGCAAAAAATAGAAAAAAACCCAATTTTTTTTTATAAAAAAAATATTAAAGTGAAGATTATAATCTACAAAATTAATTAAGAATTTTGGAGTTCATGCCATCATGAATAATTGTACCTAGCTTATACATCCTTGAAGTTTCTTTTAATAATCTTTGCCAATTATTCTTTACTTTATCAATTGGCATGAATGAAAAGTCTTTGATAGAATGCCCTTCAGAATTAAAATGTTCAGATACATTGGTAATAGTGTCAGGAAAGTGTTTAATATCAAATTTGTGACTATTCATTCTTTGACTACATTTTTGCTGAGTTTGACCAACATACTGTTTTTTTTTACATTTTTTTACAAGTTATTAGATAAATGACATCTGAACATATACATGAAAAATCAAGTTTTATAGAAAATTCTTAAGGTATAGTAGTACTTGAAAAATTATTAGTTTCAACAATATTATTACAATGAGTACAACGAGGTCGACAGCATTTAGATACTGAACCATGAATTTGGCATTTAAATGAGTATGAACTAAATTGTCTTGTAAATTTCTCAGTCTCTTATTTTGTATTTGTATAATTTACGTACATTTTCATTTGGAGAAAATTTCAATAGGCTCCAATCCATCTTAACATTATATAGGTAAAATAATTAACCAATATTGGAGCTTGTATTTATATTCTGTGTTTGATTAATCATTCTTGTATGTTTGACATGACGGCTTACTAGCGCGTTTATGAATACATGAGTTGTATACTTAAGATGACGTCATTACTTTGCTTACAGATTGGAGCCGCGTTTTGTCAAAACTGTAAAACATAACAGCCGCATATACAAGTAGTCCATAACCAATGTTTAGGCAGTTTAACACCGTTTTTTTCTTCTTTGTCTATAGTGACAAAATCACTAGGAGTGTTAGAATGTATTATTTGTTGTCCTCCTTTTTGAGTGTAATTGGAAGCAACAACAAAAGCATATTTACCGCGTCTTATTAATACTATGTTAGGTGATATGCTATTTGACTCAAACAATCCAAATTATTGTCTGTTTACAAATTCCATATGTAATAGCGGTGGCCTAGTGGTTAAGGTGTCTACCTCTAAACCCCGAGATCATGGGTTCGAGCCCTACTTGGGTCACGACCATGTTTCTTCATATGACACAAGTAATGGTTGGTTCCAGGACGCGGACTCGAAAGTGATTAAGATAAGTTGCGAGATCTTGTTTCGCAATCGAGCTTAAATAAATATGTTTAAACCAATAGCTCTTTACTCTGTTGAGGGCAAATCCATCGCAATAAATATCTATAACAAATTTGGTCGTAATAAATTGAATGACTTGAGGAACAACCATATTTTAAAATAGACATTTTTACATTGCGATATTTCTTATATATCGTTCATAGGAACATGTGACATGAAATACAACATTGTTTCCGGCCGAAGGCTGGTCTGTTTTCAGTTTGACTACCTGTAGAACTGAATTAAAGAAGGTTTTCACAGTTCTTTAACTTTCTAGTTAACTTTCTCACATATTTAGGTTCTATTTAACCATTCTTCCTTCTTGCATTCATATCTCATTACATTTTCTAGTGAACAGTTTATTTTACGTAAGAACTTACTGAGTTTTTTCAACACACACGATCTGGGTTTTAAATTGTGTCCAAAATAACAAGCATAATATCAGAACTTATTTGGTACCCTTAGTTCATGTACAATAGATGTATATTATATTATATGATTTCTGATGTGTTCAATTGATAGATCCCTACTCTGACCTTTCATTTGTATAAAATAGATTTAACCACAAACATTGACATGTGCTCTTAACAATTATGTTGTGGTGAAATTCTTTTTGTATCCACTAATCTGATAATTAGAATTGCACAGGTCAGGGATCTATGCACTGATATAATGTTTACAATTTTTATATATTGTTTGCATTTTAATCAAATATTTATAAAAAGAATAGCCTTGCCGACTTTTTATATATTGGTGATAGAAATTGAGTTCACATACCGAAACACGGTCGACAGGTTTGTTTAGAAACACATCTTAAAGATTTTCATTTATCAAGATTTATAACCCTACAAGAAACTATTATGCCATTGTTATGCAAGCTATGCTAACATTTCTATATGACTTTGCATGGAAAACTAAGAACTATCATATTATAGTTAACCAGTTTTACTTTGGCTGATTATCTATTTTTAAAGATACTTCATGTTTAAAAGTAGGGACTGTCGAATTAGGGTAAAAAGTCATTTTTAATTTTCTGAGAACGTCTTTACACATTAAAGATCTATAAAAGTTATTATTTGTTTTTCTGTCATATAGACAATATTGTAAATTAAGTATTAGTGTTTATATTAGTTTTTAGTTAATAAAACAAGCCTTTTCATGGAAAACTTTTCCGTTTTAATAAAATTCATTTATTATCCTTAGTGCCCATGTTTATATAATTATATATTGTGCAACAGATAGTATTTTTGAAAAGCTATATTTTGCTGTGTAATCATCAAGAATTTTGTTGCCAACAATTGAGGCAACTTTGTTAAATATATAACAAAATATAAATAGAAAGCAGTTTCATTTCATAAGTTAACAATACTCTAATCATGAAAACAAAATAAAGTTTTGAGACAAGCATTTTTGGTTACCTCTCAAAAGAATGTTGACATAAATGTATAACACCTTGCACAATCTCTAGGTTGATTGGTACATTAAAATGTTGTTTTAATTTAAATTTCAATATGTTATAGCTTATGCTTCGAGGACTTTTTTTGGATAAGGTAACGTATAGTATACAGAAAATCTACATTGTATGAAGGCATGGGATGGGTTTATTAGGGTTCTTCCGAGTAAACTTCTTTAAGTGGTCATTCTCCTTGTCAAACAAACCTATTCTTTGGTATTCACATGGTTAACATTTTTTTTATTCGAATCATACATGTAAATTATTGAGAAACATATTTCGATTTTTACACACATGACACTGATTATCTTAAACATTTTTTCAAGTATATTAACAACAAGAGCACCGCTAGGCGGAGCATTACATGCCCGAAAGTGTGTTTTTTTAGTAAGGATGAAGCATTTGTTAGACATGAGAATTAAATAAAGTATTACTTCCTTCAAATAGCAATCCTATGAAGTTTGAATATTGTGGGCCAAATGGAACTTAAGTTACGCTCCGAAAATTGTTTTCAGTGTTAAGGTAATAGTGACCTTAAACTTTGACCTTGTGAGCATTATTCATTCTATTAAGGTAAAAGTGACCTTGAACTTCGACCCTGTGACCCCAAAATCAATAGGCGTCTTCTACCCAATATGGACAATCATCCTATGAAGTTTGGACACTGTGGGCCAAATAGAACATAAGTTATGCTCCGGAAACTGTTTTCAGTTTTAAGGTAATAGTAACCTTGACCTTTGATCTTGTAACCCCAAAATCAATAGGGGTCTTGTACCCAATATGGACAATCATACTATGAAGTTTGAACACTGTGGGCCAAATAGAACATAAGTTATGCTCCGGAAACTGTTTTCAGTTTTAAGGTAACAGTTACCTTGACCTTTGATCTTGTAACCCCAAAATCAATAGGCGTCTTGTACCCAATATGGACAATCATACTATGAAGTTTGAACACTGTGGGTCAAATGGAACATAAGTTACGCTCCAGAAACTGTTTTCAGTTTTAAGGTAATAGTGACCTTGACCTTTGACCTTGTGACCCCAAAATCAAGAGGGGTCTTCTACCCAATATAGACAATCATCCTATGAAGTTTGAATATTGTGGGCCAAATGGAATATAAGTTATGCTCCAGAAACCAAATCGGTAACGGACGGACGGACAGACGGACGGACGTTCTAAAGGGACAGTAATAATGTGGCTACTCTATTGTTCTCTCTTTTGTTCTTTTTAGCCACACAAATGAAAATAGCCACATAAAAGCATCACGGAATGAATGACATCAAAGAGAAAGAACAGTTACCTATTGTCCCTCTAGCCACATTATTACTGTCTCGTGAGAGCAGACAGACAGACGGAGGGACGGACCCCAGGGGGTATAACATAATATGCCCGAAATTTTTACGGGCATATAAAAATGAACCATGTATTTATCATGTGTATTGTTTATAGAAAAAGTAGCATTATACGATATATATTTTTATTTTGAAAAGTCATTTAAATAAATGACTTATATAAACAGTCCGCTTATGAGTAAAGCCAAATATTTTGTATGAACAGTCATCACTCAAACAATTCTTCTCTAAGCTGGCCACATAGAACTATTTTTGTACTACTTCATGATAGTTGTCTCTCTTACTCGAATTTGAATATTCTCATCTTTCCTGATAAGTTATCTAATGTTACAACCAGTTTGGTCATTTCTTTATTAAAAGACATTGCTAATGGATAAGATTCTTTATGTTTCCCTAGAATGTGAGCTTTCATAGATTGTCCATTTGGATTAAGTAGTTGAATACTATTTTCGCTGTAATTTGCGACATAAACATTCGCTTGTGAGTCTGTAATAACAGACCACGGATATTCAATTTTGTGTTGGAAAATTACATTCCCAGACATGTCAGTGCAAAGTAACATATGCATACTGTGTGATGAAATAAGGATATGTCTAAGCTGAGAATCAACATAGACGTTGTGTGTATTCTCTATATATTTTCTCTCAATTCTGCTCAAATCGATACAATCAGCATCTTTACCATCAATCGTTATTTTTCTTATGACGGTTTCTGACGTAGACAGTGTTAATAAACGTTTGGTCTTTTTGTCATAGGCAATCAGGTCCGGTTTTGAACATGTCAATTCTCTTAAATACATCATATGATTTTGTTGAATCTGCATTATAATTATTTTGTTTATTGATGGCAAGGCAACAGCAAACTTATCATTCTCAATTGCTGTTACTGATGTAGGAGAGGGACATTGGTATGTTGATACAGGTGAACCGTCGCCTGTTTTGTAAGCTACTAGTTTAGAAGTGCGTTCAAAAGAAACTACGATGTAATTGCCAACCCAAAGACAGTATCTAGGCTGACTTTCATTCAAATTAACTTCACGTTCCAAATTCAGTTTCCTACTCGTAAATGCTTTGCGTTGTGGAAACGAAGGCAAAATAGGCTCTTTTCTCATTTCTCTGATCTGATAAAGTCCATCAATCTTTCCTAATACTTCTTGTAGTGGACAAGCTTCTAAAAGAGTAGGTAATACTCTGCTTGATTGCTGTCTTAGATTTATGAATGTTTCCTCGTATTCTATAACTTTTTTACCCATTTCTCTTTCAAGAAGAAATGCATGTATCGCTGTTCCATATGTTCTAGCTTTCTTAATTTTTTCATCACAATACTTGATATCCCCTTTCAGTTTTTCGGCAGATTCTTTCTGTAAAGAACTAGCTTTTGATAATGAGTGTTTCCTCCATGTTATTCCCAACATGACTCTCGTTTCAAGTTTGCTATAGGCGGCATCAAGTTTTTCCTTAAAATTCGTCAAGCAGGCCTTTGCTTCTTTTTCTTTTTTATTCGTGCTTTCTAAATATGTAGTTTCGTGCTTAATCAGCTTTCCAACGTAACTGTCAATCGTAATAAGTCTCTTTTCAAGACAAGTTTCTATGCACTCTTCCTTTTCTTTTATTTCATCTATCAGGGATACCATATCTTCACATTTTCTATGTGTAACAATCGCACATTCATTGCAGCAAAGCTGATCATGATCTTTACATAGATACTTTACATCTTCGGTACTGTGAGTTGAACATTTGGATAGATTTGCTAAATATTCGAATTCTGAAAGATCTACGGCTTTTGACTCATTAATTTCAATCAATTTATGATTTGATAATACTTTATTTTTCCTATGATGTCTTTTACAATCTTCACACAGTTTTTCAGAACAATCATAACAATAAACAATAGCTTCAACCTTGATATCCTCCCTTAAGCACGCCTCACAATCATTTTCTTTTGGATTCATCGCCAACTTTCTTTCTTTTAAAATCGAAAGTAGAGTAAAGTTAATCGGAAAATTCTCCACCCACTTTTCAACCGATTTAAACCTGACTTTATCTGTTTTCGTGTCAGCTCTACAAACTGGACATAACAAAGTTTGTGAATCCTGTGTAATCTTCAGAATATAACCTTTTAAACATTCCTGACAGAATGAATGTAAACACGGTAATGTTCTAGGTGTGTCATATATCTCCAAACAAATACTGCAGTAAAAATGTTCATCACGTACCAAAACTTGATCTGATCAATGTCGCCATTTATATCAGTTTTAAAGGGGAAGAACTGCGATTATTAGGCCAAAAATATAATTATGTTTGTTTCCCCTTCCAGACCCATTAAAATTAAGGTTTTTTTTATATGTGTGCATAATAATAAATACTCTGCAAACATGTATAATGAACTATTAAAATTAATTTATTAAGTGCAATAGTATATGTACATGCATTACCATAGTTAATGATTTGTGACTATTGTGTTTAGTTGAGCTCATATCAATAACATTGTCCTCATGGTTTTTAAATTTTTGTGATTTATGGAATATTATTATTATTAATAAGGCATGTAAAGTTTAAACCGCTTTTTATGATTTCCAGAGTATTTTAAGTATTGTTTACCTTAACCTTTTCCCTCATATAGACGTGTTTTACAGCTTTTTGTCTCCCCCTCTTTTTGAGGCATCAACCAGTGAAAAAATGCCCTATTTGGGCACCAAACACTGGTTTTCTTTGAGAAATGTTGTTAAAAAAAGTTACCACTTTTTCGGCGCGGCCCACCATCAAAATGATACACAAGGGGGTTGCCAAAAAGGGGGATGTGCCCCCTTCTGTTTGGGGAGTTTGAAGGGGGGCGGAGTCCCCCTCATCGCAAAGCAAATTTTGGAAATGTGACAGGCTAAAATGGCCTCAGGTGGTCGATCTTAAGATGATGTGTAACCAACGCTGAAAAGCCTTTTACTCTATCTCATCGCATTGAGAAGTTGCAGCACTTTGAAATCATTTTTGATGGAAAAAACAATGCAAAATAGTGATTTTTCGGAATTTTGAGACGTCCCCCAGTTGCCATGGTAACAGGAAATTTAAGATTGAGCATGTTGTTACAGAGGTTCTAGTTCAGTGAACATGTGTGCCAAGTTTCATCAGTATTGAAGCATTCTGCATAGTTTTAAAGCAGATGGAACTTCGCCATATGAACACATCTGCGGATGTTTCAAAATTCTAAATTTTACCAGTTCATGTTAAATGTTGAATTCTGCTTAAGCCGGTGCTAGGGGGCGTGGACGGTAACTTGCACTTTCCAGTACCGTCCATGAACAGGCTCAATCAAACCGAGCCTGCAACATTTTCAATTTTGACGTGTTGGGCTTTCTTTAGGGATTCTGTATTTATCTATTTTGTAACATGAGCCTTTTAAATAAAGCGGCCATTTTTCACAATATGCTCATGGGGTAAAAGGTTTATTAACCAAAATATAACACAAAACAACAATTTTTCACCAAAATTAGGTGTTACGCCACGAGTTAACATGGAAAATCTAGATTTTGTGTAATTCCAAGGTTTTTCATCATTTTTTGTTAACTTTTCCCTCATATAGACGTGTTTTGATGTTTTTTGTCCCCCCTTTTGAGACCTTAACCAGTGAAAAAAATTGGGTCCCAAACACTGTGGGGATGTGCTCCCTTCTGTTTGGGGGGTTTGAAGGGGGCGGAGTCCCCCCTCATCGCTAAGCAAATTTTGGAAATGTGACAGGCTAAAATGGCCTCAGGTCGATCTTAAGGTGACGTGTAACCAACGCTGAAAAGCCTTTTACTCTATCTCATCGCATTGAGAAGTTGCAGCACTTTGAAATCAGTTTTGATGGGAAAAAAGCAATGCAAAATAGTGATTTTTCGCAATTTAAGATTGAGCATGTTGTTACAGAGGTTATGTTTCAGTGAACATTTCATCAGTATTGAAGCATTTTGCATAGGTTTATAGCAGTTGGTTCTTGTAACAGGAGCTTTTTCAATAAAACGGCCATTTACACGTGTTTTGACGGTTTTTTGTCCCCCCCCCCCACTTTGAGGCCTCAAATAGTGAAAAAATGCCCTATTTGGGCCCCAAACACTGTTTTTCGTTTGAGAAATGTTGTTGAAAAAGTGATCACTTTTTCGGCGCGGTCCCCCATCAAAATGATAAATCACGGGGTTGCCAGAAAGGAGATGTGCCCCCTTCTGTTTGGGGGTTTGAAGGGGGCTGAGTCCCCTTCAACGCCAAGCAAATGTTGGAAATGTGACAGGCTAAAAATGGCCTCAGGTCGATCTTAAGGTGACGTGTAACCAACGCTGAAAAGCCTTTTACTCTATCTCATCGCATTGAGAAGTTGCAGCACTTTGAAATCAGTTTTGATGGGAAAAAAAAACAATGCAAAATAGTGATTTTTCGCAATTTTGAGACGTCCCCCCGTTGCCATGGTAACAGGAGCCTTTTAAATAAAACGGCCATTTTTCACAATATGCTCATGGGGTAAAAGGTTTATTAAACAAAATTTAACACAAAACAACAATTTTTCACCAAAATTTGGTGTTAGGCCACGAGTTAACATGGAAAATCTAGATTTTGGATAATTCCACGGTTTTTCATAATTTTTTGTTAACTTTTCCCTCATATACACGTGTTTTGACGGTTTTTTGCCCCCCCCCCCCCCACATGAGGCCTCAACCAGTGAAAAAATGCCCTATTTGGGCCCCAAACACTGTTTTTTGTTTGAGAAATTTTGTATAAAAAAGTGACCACTTTTTCGGCGCGGTCCCCCATAAAATAATACATCAGGGGGTTGCCAGAAGGGGGATGTGCCCGCTTCTGTTTGGGGAGTTTGAAGGGGGGCGGAGTCCCCCTCATCGCAAAGCAAATTTTGGAAATGTGACAGACTAAAAATGGCCTCAGGTCGATTTTTAGGTGACGTGTAACCCACGCTGAAAAGCCTTTTACTCTATCTCATCGCATTGAGAAGTTGCAGCACTTTGAAATCAGTTTTGATGCAAAAACAATGCAAAATAGTGATTTTTCGCAATTTTAAGACGTCACCCTGTTACCATGGTAACAGGAAATTTAAGATTGAGCATGTTGTTACAAAGGTTATAGTTCAGTGAACATGTGTGCCAAGTTTCATCAGTATTGAAGCATTTTGCATAGTTTTTATAGCAGTTGGAACTTGTAACAGGAGCATTTTCAATAAAACGGCCATTTTTCACAATATGCTCATGGGGTAAAAGGTTAATTAAAAAAAATTGACACAAAACAACAATTTTTCACGAAAATTAGGTGTTAGGCCACGAGTTAACACGGAAAAACTCGATTTTGGGTAATTCCACGCTGCTTTTTCATAATTTTTTTGTAACTTTAGCCGCCTCCGTGGTCGAGGGGTTAGAGTCGATGACTTCTAATCCAGTTACCTCTCTGGCGTGGGTTCGATCCCCGGGAGATGCTTTGGTAGTTTAGCGCGGAGGAAGGTAGTCTAGTACTGGTGTAACTCTCTAGGAACGATGGTTAGGAAACTACCCGCCTATATGACTGAAATACTGTTGGAAAAAGGCGTAAAATGAAACGAACAAACAAACAAAAATGTTAACTTTTCCCTCATATACACGTGTTTTGACGGTTTTTGTCCCCCCATTTTGAGGCCTCAACCAGTGAAAAAATGCCCTATTTAGGCCCCAAATACTCTTTTTCGTTTGAGAAATGTTGTTAAAAAAGTGACCACTTTTTCGGCGCGGTCCCCCATCAAAATGATACATCAGGGGGTTGCCAGAAGGGGGATCGATAGTATCATATCTTTTTTCTCTCAAGTAATAAATAAATAAATGATCTCACATTCTATTACATTTTTCTATTATAATTTGCAGGATAATAACAACACACTGGAGAGAGAAGAGTGTTTTGTATTTGTTGTGTTGATGTAAACACTTAGTTCCATAAACTGGTAAGTGTGATATATTGTTGTAAATGTATATAAGTGTTTTATGATATTGTATGATAAAATGCTTGATGTTAATTAAAAGCCACTGGAATGATTATGATTGTTTGCTTTATGCAATTCAAGAAAGAATGTTAAATGTTATATTTATTTAGAATGTGTTAATTATGTATTTTCAGAGTGTGGTTAAATGTGTTATAATAAACGCTGAAAACATGAAGATTGATTGTCTATTGATGTCTAAGATACATGCTGTGCCAACAGAAATAAAACATTCAGAACCTACCAAATCCTTGACTTTTTATTCACCTTATTATCGATAAATTTTAAAGGAGTTACAATATGCCCGATGGTAAATTTATAAGAAGTATCGTAGACAAAAATGTAACCAAATTTATTGTTGTAAATGGCTCGATTATGACTTTTTGATCAAATTAATATTAGTGCTTTTTTCAATGTAGGAATTGAATATATTAGTAATAGCAACTGATTGAACATCAAGACTTGATTTTATTTGAGCTCCTATTTTGCAGGGTTTGTCCCTTTTCAATCAATTTTTAAATTCCATTTAAATCAAGATTGCAATTACATGTAGTTTATTTCAGAGAAAATCGAATTTGGCCTGTGTTTTGATATAACATACTTGTATGTCACATTTCAACACATTTAGTGAAATCAGTTATCCAGTTACTGTACTCAGTGGAAACCAATATTTTACAGAAAAATTCCTGAAAAAGGGTATAATTCTTCCAATAATGATTTAATTGCAATGGAAATCATTTACAACTTGCATTGTGGTATAACATACTTTCATGCCAAATATAAACAGATACATTGAAAATCTTTAAAAATTTATTCTCCTGAAACCCAAAATTTCATTTACAATTGGCTTAACCCATTACTTCATATACACGCCTTTTAACGCCTTTTTCACCCCACCCCCTTTTTGTTGTCTCAAATGATGAAAAAATGCCTTATTTAGGCCCCAAACACTTGTTTTTGTTTAAGTAATGTTGTTAAAAAAAGTGACCTCTTTTTCGGCGCGGCCCCCCAACCAAAAGATACATCAGGGGGTTGCCAGAAGGGGGATGTGCCCCCTTCTGTTTGGGGGGTTTGAAGGGGGGCGGAGTCCCCCTCATCGCCAAGAAAATTTTGGACTTGTGAGAGGCTGTAAATGACCCCAGATTGATCATAAGGTAACGTGTAACCAACGCTGAAAAGCATTTGACTCTATCTCAATCCATTGAGAAGTTGCAGCACTTTGAAGTCAATTTTGATGGAAAAAAAACAACGCAAAATAGTGATTTTTGGCAATTTTGAGATGTCCCCTCGTTGCCATGGTAACAGAAAATTTAAGCCTGAGCATGTTGTTGCAAGGGCAATCAGGTCCAGTCAACATTTGTGCCAAATTTGATTAGTGTTGAAGCAGTTTTTATAGTATTATAGCAATTTGAACTTGTAACGGGAGACTTTTCAATGAAAACAGCCATTTTTCACAAAATGCTCATGAAGTAATGGGTTAAAAAGGGGCATAATACTTCCAGAAATACGTCGCAGCGAAGATTGAACCTGACATGTGTTTTAATGAATTTGAAACATACTTACATCTATATTATTATTACAATCACTAAAATAATTTGGTTCTGATGGTGCATTCAAGAAGATGATGCAATTTGTAACGTAAAATAATAAAAAGAAAACAACAAATCGCAATCAGGAAAAGAGGCATGAGATCTCGAACCTCTGGCGGATATTTTCCTTGGGCTAGAGCTTTTTGACTTATACCGCTGTAACAACTAATCTCCAAATTATTGCTATGGCTAATTTGGAACGGAATCAAACCAATGGTAACCTGACGGAAAGCTGCAGAAAATAGTGTTTTTTTTTACGAAAATTCAAAGACTTTACATACAGAGAGAACAAATGGACAACCGAAAAGGAGACCATACCAGGCGTGCCTCTTGAGTCTATTTTTTGGCAAGAGCTTTTGTGTCTTATATTGCCGTAACTTTCAAACTAATGTTATTGCTAATTGCAACAGATTTTTACTGTCAGTGAGCTGTAGAAAATAACGTTTTTTTTTGTTGTTTTTTTTTAAGGAAAATTCGAACACTTTAAGTCTTTATATACAGAAAGAAAAGAACAAATCACAAAACGAAAAACTGTCCATGCCATGCGAGTCTGTGGCGGCTATTTTCCTTGGACTAGAGCTTTTGTGCCTTATATTGCCATGAAAACGAACCTTCAAACTATTGTTGTGGTCAATACGCTACGGAATAAAATAAAACGGTTTCTGCCGGTGAGCTTTTGAAAATAGTGCTTTTTACTAAAATTCAAAGACTTTATATAGAGGAAGAGAAAAAGAGACCACGCCATGCGGGCCTGTTCTTATTGCTGGTTTGCAACGGATTCAGACCGCTGATAAACTTGATTTGTTATTTCTGTAAAGTCTTAGATCGACAGATAATTTGAATTTTCCAATGATCATTTATTTGTTCATTTGTTTATAATTTTCATATAGTTATGCATGTTAATCAAGTATTTATAAATATAATTGTCTACTGACTACGTAGACGTTGGTGTTATTAATTGCGTTCACTTACTGATTCACTACAGGTTTATTTCGAAACACATATATAAGAAAGGCTACTTAATATTTGTTTCTGATTTTCATTGTTTTTCAGTATTTCCCTCTGTACGTGTGACACATCCGTGGGTTTATTATACCAATCAAACGTTCTCATTTATAAACTTCCTTTACAAATTTCGCTTAGATTAAACATGAATTGTTTTTAAGTAATTCTTTTTACAATCTAAAATGGTATATTTCGTCTCCAAACCTTAAGCTGCGTGTGCCGAATTTTTATATGTTTTAAGACCATATGCTGCTAATTGATATCCTAAAATTGATTTCTTGATTGGACTTTACGTTGCACTGACACTGTAAAGGTCATATGGCGACTTTCAAGTTTTACTGGCTTAGTGCCTCAGGTGCACCTCTTCATGCATTTTTTCAGGCTCGTACTGGCACCCGAGTAGAATCACCGATGCTCCGATAATTGGCTCGATAGCTTTCTCACAAAAGAAAATTTAAAGTCTCTATCGGAATTCGAACCCACAGCGGTGAAGGGCAAATGATTTGAAACCAACGACCTTTACCATTCGGCCATGGACGCCCCTTCATCTGAGCTAATAGCAGACATAAGTCAACAGCTTTTCACATTCATGCAATTCTTTTATTGTCAGCTTCTACTATACCGAATTTCCAGATTACACAATGTCAGAGCTATGAATAAAAAAAGAGGAAGTTATGACGTGATTCACTAAAGTTGATTTTTCCATAAGTTCACATTTTCATGAGATTTTCAGAGACCATTTATGACACGAGGAAATTTATCATGCTTCATGAAATTTGTAGCGGTAATCGAAAGAAGTTATGAAAAAGAGGTTGCACAAATGTAAAACAAAAAACAACAAATATTAAAAAGATGTATATTATTCTCGGTAATGAATGAAATTGTAAACCCACTCGGTTATGTTATAAAACATGGCGGAAATTGGTCATCTTCTTATCCCTCTGTAATTTAAGTCTCTGCATGACAATGTATAATAATGGATATTTAAAATGAATAATTATAATAATGAATCATCATGCATAAATGCTGTTTGTTTCATACTTATCTTATGACACCCCCATTCATAGAGATTTGACACAAATGACGGCTTGAAAATGGACTTTACACTGACTGAGAAAATGATTTGCTTATTGCTTATCTTATAAGCTATGTATAATCATATTTAAATATGACATTTTATGTTCAATGTGACATTGGTAGAAACTACTGGGAAAAAAGCTGTTTTTTCAAAATGGTTCTTAGTGCATATATTGATATTCCACGGTATTTTCCCTGCGATAATGTGTAACATATTTCCGTCAGTAATGTACAAGGAATGCTTTATTGTCTCAAGCAAAAGATACTGGAAAATGCATTCTGGACACTTACGATAAATCTTTGAAACACCTACAGCATCATTGAACAAGATATTTATCATAAAGTATTCCGAGGGTCAAAGGAAATGAAATGTTGCTGATATAGAAAAGTTTATATCACATAATAGTGTACCTCCCGAATTAAATTGCATATTTCATCTCTTGAATCATTTTTTTTATTTAGGAAGATCATATACATGTATGTGTTTAATAATGCTACATAAGGAATTCAAACCATGTTTTTTAAACGACTAATAAAAAAAGCGCTGAACACACATTAATATACGTCGTAAAGGTAGAGCAAAATGTAAACAAAGTAGAAATTTGACTTCAATCGACTACAATACAAATAACTAAACAATTATATTTACAAATGTATATCAATTACCAAATAGCACAGGTAGCAAAATATATTTCACCTAATATATGGCAAATGAGAAACTTTTTAAAAACTGTAACAATTAAGGTACCACAAAAAAAGTTCATAAAAATACATGTATACATGATAGCATTATGGGACCCAAATAGGCCTTAAAAATGAAATAATCCCTCTAACACTAATTATCAAGACAAACACTTGTTATTAAAATTGAAGGTCAGTTATTTGCTTCTTGTCAAATTTCTGAAAACAGGGACATAAAAGACAAGGGCATGCAACGCACCATGATTAGGAAATATTTCTAGGTCGTTAATAAGATGTAAATGACAACCAGCCATAATCAATACTAAATATATTAGTTAAATACTTTTATATGTTTGTCATATATACAAATGCCAATTTTTGTGTCGGTTAAATGATAAAATATATCTAATTGCAAGTTAGTTATACTGTTATAAACAATAATAAAAGCAGAGATCGATTGTGCATAAGATGTCATGAATGAATTTTATGTTTACATTTGTAATCAGCTAAGCTTTAATTACTATTTTTTTCTGAGTTTAATAGTTTCATTTTCAAAAGCAGGCAATCAATATGTGAGAATTCAAATTCCCTGTTTGAGTCTGTACCTGGAAAATAACGAGGACTGACTTGTTGCTTTAAATCACTACAATAGTCTTCAAACATTGTATTTACATTCTTGAAAAATGCCACCTCCTTTTTGAAAGTGTCACCTTCTTCCCTGATTTGTCTTTTTATTCGACTCACAGCAAAATTATATAACGCGTAATCTAAGTAAAGAAAATCTTTAATATTCAAAATATCTGTTTCGGATAAAGTATTTCGTCTAGACGTTGTAATTGTTACATGTTTCCGTAGATAAAGAATATCTCCGATGCTCCAGTTAAGTAATCTTTTCATCAAGACAAGTGATTCATCAAAGAGCTCATTTACAACAATAAGCTGGAAATCGGTATCCAATTGCTTTATATATTCATTTATCTCATTGACGGATGTATTTCTTAAATGATCGGGAAACAGGTGTATGGGGAACCCAAAATCCACTGCCATTCTGTTATTGGTCATTGAGTTCCTTGGATCGGTTGGTTCATAGAGAAGAGGGTTTCTGGAATATGTTGATAATGGTTTTAATCCTTGGAGTTGAAGTATGTACTTAGGTTCAAAGAAGTATATAGCTGACTGGAATCGAGAAATAGGATCTCTTACGGCGCCAATATAAACAGTATCTTTTGGGAAAATTGCTTTGAAAAAGTTTCTATTATATATCACGTGATGACACAATATGTCATAAGGCTGCGATTTTGGCGGTGGCAGAATATTTTTGTTTGTTAAAGATTCCACTTCACTGATAACCCCTCTTGTGTGTGTGTACCGGAGGTTTGGTAACACAAACGTCAGATTTCTGATGTGTCCAAACTTAAGAAATATTTGTTTAAGCGTTGCGCTCCCTGTTCTATGAACCTTTACAAATGCTATATGACGAACTTCATGTTTAGCTGTATTATTTTCTGTAATTGGATGACCGCTCTGAAGTTGACGTTTTCTAACAAAAATATCGTCCATCAGTTTGGGTCTTAAACCAATATCATTGTATGAAACTTGAGATATTATATGTTTCACAAGCACATACATCAAAGTTCCAATTATCGATCCGGTAATCATCTGTGCCCTTAAAGAGTAAACAATTGTAAAAAGTTTAAGCAAAAATATATCTGACCCTGAAAATATTATCAAACGACTGTTCACCGTCATATGTATGCATCCAGCAACTATTCCATGCACAAGGGGACCTATCTCTGTTGTACACTGATGCTAAGTGTTAAAGGCACATATGGTCTCAGAAACACTGAATATATTCTTCTTTAGAAAGGGAAAAATGAGTTTTATATCATTGAACTAATGTTTTTAGAACATATAAGATTTTTATCAACTGAAGAAAGTAGCACTGAACTTGAACTTGTTTACAATAAAATGATCGAATTGCGAGTTAAGTAGTATTTTGATTTCCCGTATACTACATCACTTTATATTCCTGTAATGAGTACCATAAACGCAAAAGAAGGAAAAAAAGATGGTTCAGGTAAAAGGCCAATAAGTAACTATTTGGAATCTATAACAGGACACCGAAAAAAAAAAAAAAAAAAAAAACCATATAAAAACCTTTAAGTATTTCTAGAATACTAACCACTTTCGGTTTCAGTAATTTGAAGGGTAATATTTGAACATATATACACTGGCATGTTATTTCTGTCAATGACATTTATTTGTATATTTCATATTTTTCAAATCTTTTATAAGCATATGAAAGAAAGAAAAAATATTGTAGAAATAGAATGAGAGATAATATATCACATTACATAATAAAGAACCATTTTGTAATATATCTTAAGCTTGATTTTAATGTTCATGAAAATACGCTCTTTTTTCTACCAATCTTTTTATCCTAAAGAATTACATTATATAAGAATCTAGACAAAAGGTGATCCCTCGGAAGCATTATTCACAACAAATTGCATGAAAATTGCAGACTCGGTTTGATTGAGTCTGTACATGAGAGAAAATGAAAAAGTGCAACATCCCTCACGCCCCAAGCACCAGCTTAAGTGGTACTCAATTTTAACACTTTAAAGTATGGAGTCAATGATTATGAATGACCAGAAAATATAACATCACTGAAGTCCACACCTTGTTGTTAGAGGGATCAATGCAAAAGATGCACGAATGATAAGTTGGTACGTTTGAGTAGTATAGGGGTCTCGTTTACTACTCGTTTGAAAAAGAGTTTCGCATTATGTCTCAGAAATGCTTTTATTTTTATTTATTAACAGTTTTTAATGTTAGTTGTTCTGCTATAGTTTTCAAAAAGTAACTCATTGTTAGAATGACTGAACATTTTTTTTCATCTATTGCTGTGTGGCAACATTTATAGTGAATTAGTATTTTTTATGAAAGTCAAAATTGTACTTTGTTTATATTTTGCTACTTATATTACAAACTTTTCTATATTTATTGCTACGTTCTTCAGATGATATCATAGGTATTTAAAACAAAAGTTCATTTGCATTTTTTTCTTTTGTTTTACGACGCACAAGCACAGTTAAGGAAGGTCACATTGTGCTGAAACCGGAAAATGATTTTGGCTAACCTCTGGAAGCAACACCAGTGGACAAATCTTTTGCAAATAAGCATATTTAGGTCAAATGAATGGTACTGTAATTTGGATAAATATGAATCATTTGTCACCTTCATCGAAAAGTACAGATGTCCGTGACATGACCGACCGATTTATTTTCATGATGGATGTTGTTAAACATTTAAGACACATCTGTTTCCTTTACTTTTTCTAATTCAATGTTGTAAATTCATGGATTAATTGTATGTTTGTGGCGTTCAAGCTTTTGAAAAACAATGGAGAATTTATCTTGATTAAAGAGTATGTAACATATTCCATGAAATTGCGTGTTGATGCTAGAAATCACGCACTTGACATGACTGAAAATTGTTTGTTTGTCCGAAATAAAAACAAAAGAACAAGGACACGTTTTGTTTTATATAATATGAAAACCATGCATGTACATTTGCCCCGAGAGATTTGCAGCAGCTGTTTGCTAGTCAGTAAATATTTGCAGTAAAAACCTTTTACATACAATCAACTTACTGACTATGAAATGAAGAAGACATGAACATTTAATATATTCTGAATAAATAGATTTAATTTATAACTGATCTGCGCAATACTTAATATGGCAGCATTTATTGTTCTGCAATATATTGAAGTTTAAATTCCTCCTTGCATACCTAGAATGTAATCTTAAATGGAATGTTGATCACATTAAAAAGAATTTCATGAGTTTATCTGCAGGTTATTAATTCTGTAATGTCACTGTCGCCTCCAAAGTAAAATAAAGAGAAATAAAGAATCCCTACAAAGCGCACAACACGATAATATTTAAAATGTTGCAGACTCGGTTTGATTGAGTCTGTTCATGGATAGTACTGGAAAGTGCAAGTTACCGTCCATGCCCATAGCACCGGCTTAAGCAGTATTCAACATTTAACATGAACTTGTAATATTTGAAATTTTATACATCCGCAGGTGTGTTCATACGGCGGTTATGATAAAATACTCATAATCCCATTGTATCCTAGGCAATGCTTTAAAAAATGTAGAGACTACCAAACTATTGGCAAAACTTATAAGAAACCTTAGATTATTTTTTTATTTAGGATAATTACTTGGAACATGTCTATTTCCAAACTGCTTATTATGTATGAAATACAATATATATACATTGTATATAAGGGAGGTACACGTTTAGGTTATTTAAAAAAAGCTTGTAATGAAGTTGCTTGCAAAGCAAAAACAAAATAAAAAAAAAAAAAAAAAAAAAAAAAAAAAAAAAACAAACAAACAAACAAACAAAAAGCAAACTAAAAAACAGCAGATAAAGTTGTGAGATAATGGAAAGCTTTGATTTAAGATAATAGCGGTAGAACTTTTACTGACTCGGCAATAAAATGTATTCAGAATATTAGTTAATGATATGAAAAAACAAAAAACAAATGACATGAAAACATAACAATTTGTAAGTTCAAAAGGATTGTATATGGACAATGTGTCAATTATATTTCACAAAACAGAGGGTTTTACATACAAACACTTTGTTTATTTGGGTTTAACGGCATCACTGACACATTACTCGTCATATCACACCTAACACTATAATGAGTAGGTCTAAAAAGAGCTGGAATAATCAATTAGGTAAATATTAAATAAAAGTTTACCACCTTTATATAACCGATTAGGGTTTTAAATACATTTGAGGCAAAAAAATTCTAAGTGAATTGAGTAGATGAAATCTATCAAGAACATGTGCAAGATCATGGCATTATAGAAGGGAATGTTTGACAGTAAAGTAAAGAATCCATTGCAGGATACCTAAAATGGAGCAGTGTAATAACGCACTTTGGGAAATTTCAACCCTGAAGTGCGTTAAACAGGTACATATGCATTTTTTACATCAGACAAACGACCGCACTTTGGGTTCTTCAAAATAATTTTCATTATGTTTAAAATGATATACTGTAGTCAAATCCAATGGTAAACAGAATTCAAGGTATTTAATATACGAAAAACATGTGCCCTGAATTATAGTAGAATCAATAGGGATTTAATTAGGTCTTGATCAGTAAGTGAAGAACTTTCATCAAATAAAGAATTTGTATCAATTATTAAGCTACAAATATATATTTATATTTTAAAAGAATGTATACCTTTCAGTAACTCCATTGTTTTTAGCTAATTGCATTTATTTACACATTTTATAGAAATATGATAGACTTTGCATAGACAAAAGTATAAATTCTGGGAAATATTCGTAAGACATTTCAGTAAAAAATTTGCATGATAATATGTTGAAAGAGCCATTTATTTAGCCAAATGTGACAAATAAGTAATTTGACTAGGTGTAGATGCGGCTTTAAGTAGAAGAACGTACAGGCAGTACTAACAAGATCATAAACTATTTAAGTAGTCGTACATTAAAAGCCTGTAAAATTCTCACTGGAAGTATAGAGGGGATTGTGGGGAATCGATCCCCCAAGGGTTAAAATAATGTTTTATAGGCTCATTATGCTTTTATTTGTTTTTCTTAAAAGCTTTTTTACTTTGATGTTCTTCTATAATATCCAAAAATACACATTGGCCAATTACTTGAACCATCTTTTTCATCTGTTGCTTTTTGGCAAGAATGGGTACAGTTTTAGTGAATAGAATAAGTATTTTATATGGAAGGCAAATACTACATTGTTTTGATTACTTTTATGACAAACAATTTCACATTTATCGCATCTTTATTCAAGTAACAAGCAGTAACAAGTCAGTACTCAGTTTTTAAGCAGAACTCTCAGTTAACAGCTTCAGACCTCTAGAACCCAAAGTGCGTTGATATGTAGCATATTTACGCACGTTGGGGTCAATTTTTCGATTTTGACCTCGAAGTGCGTTGGACCCCAAAGTGCGATGCGAAGTTTAAAACTCACTTTGGGGTCGGACCCCAAAGTCCGTTGGACCCCAAAGTGCGGTGTTACAGAGCATCACCTTCTGTTAAAAGATCCGAATGTATAGTTTTAGTATGTGCAATTTTTCATCTTAGTAGAACAACTTGATATTGACGGTTAAGGTGAGATGGAGATGATAATTTGTCAAAACTAGCGTTGATATCATGAAGTATGTTAAATGGAGTTTTGTTCAAATTTGATTTCATTTCAGATGAAATAAAATTATTTATTGAGGATTTAAAATCTTATTTAGTAGCGCTAAATTTACTGGTAGAGAATTTAAGGATTATTTAGCCAAAGCATCATCTTTTATTTTCTAGTATTCCTTTATGGCTTGGGATTCAACAGAAGTTGACTGACTTAGTTTACAAATATCATGAAATTGCAAAAGGGTTCCTTTGTCATTCATTATGATATAACCGGACTATAATTGACAATAACGCGTGTAGTCTGAAAAAATACAAATGTCTTATCATAATGCTGTGAAATGTATGACAATGCTAATTTAAGGCTTTCGGTTCAGCAGTAATTATAGATGGATTATAAGGTAGACGAAGTCTAGAAGTAAAACGACGGCTGCACCTACTTTGCAACCATACAAACCCCAATGAGAACGTAACAAATAATTAAGTTCGGTCAAGTGCAACATATTAGTTCATGAATTTTTGGACATTAATCTTGTATAGACTACATTGACCGGTGATAAAAGTATAATCAGTATTAACAAAGAATTTTTATGAATCTTAAGGGGATAAGTCATATATTTAGTAATAGGATTTCTTTCCCAAACTTATGTCTTCATAAATTTAGACATTCCGTGATTAAGTAAGAAGATTGCATATTGCCCTTTAGATCGTATACATATTTGTACTTTAAAATTGCACCATTAGCATGTTGTTTTGCCGTAGTTCAAATCTATACAAGCTGCTGTAAGATGCATTTCCTTTTTATGCCTTATTTCATTTTGCTTATTTTTCGCCCCAGCGGTAATTTGTAACACATTGCCGGTATTTACGTGTTTTCAATGCGATAAGGGTAAAAATGCTCACAAAATCAGAGTTGTCTTGAAGATCGTTCAGCATGATATCATTGTTTTGTTTGTGATATTTTTAGTTCCTTGCATTTTATCGTCACGTCAACGTTGTTTGCGCTGTTTGGAGCCTAGTATATTCAGTGATATAATTATTATACTGCCTCAAAGATCGTTCAGGAAGAAATTATTGTTGTGTTTGGGGAAGATTTAGTTCCTTATATTTAAATTTTTCTTTCGACGTCTTATTTGTGAAATGCAGGTCTTATAATCTCTGGGTTCTTGTCAGAACCCATTTTAGCCCGACTTTCTTATGGAAAAAGAAAGAACAACTATCGATACAGTCATGTTGTGGTACATTAAATTAATGTCAAATGTTTGCATTTTGCTTGATTTTTTTATGATAATTGGCTGAAACTTTGTTATTTATAAATTGATGTCTTTCATACGTTAACACAGCAATCATTTGGACAAGACCATCAAATAGATTAAATTGTTTATGACTTTCATTCACAAATGACATTGACCTTGAAGGTCAATCTTTTGAATTTTGCTTAACTTTTGCTACAGTTGGCTATTATTTTTTATTAAATTGTCTTCATTGTTGATAATATCTGCCTTAAGGTCAACGTTTTAAAGAAGATCAAACATATTTGACCTTGCCTTATAAATGACCTTGTCTGTCAAATTATTGTAATTTCACAGTTCTTTGATACAATTGACTATAACAGTAAATAATGAACGCATGGGCTATATACTTAGGCGAAGTAATCTTTTGGACAAGATATTGGAGAAGTTGAATTAACCTCACCTTGACCTTAATGTGACATTGCCTCAAAAGGTAAAATTAGAGAATTGTGTACTATTGGGCATATCTATGTTATTAATCAATGGTTTCTTTTATTAATATTGGACAAAACAACACTAATATAAAATGTTATGTTAAGTAATTGGAATATGACCTTGTCCGTCAAGGTCAAATGATAAGTTTAAATTTAGCTTAGATTGTCATAACTTTGTTATAGATTTACAGATATGATTTACTCGGACAAAACAACCCTGATCTGCAAAAGACAGTTATCTTGTAAACACAATTACAAACTTGTTGCATATGTATATAAAATGCCTAAAAAATGATTGAAAAAATGATAAGGCGAAAACTCTTTGAATTATTGGATCAACGAATGATTGGTCAAGAGGCACATGTCATTACAGAATGAAATGTCTGATGCTGCTTTAAAACGACGTACACTTTCATGCTTTTAATTATTTTTATATTTTTATGTTTTACTACAGCAGGTGTCAAGTTCCAATTTTTGAGCTGTAAAAAGTTACTTCATATTTCACTTCAGTATTTTTTCATGTGTGTCCCCACTACAGGGAGGGGGTATTTAGATTTACCCTTGTCTGTTCGTCCGTCCGTTCTCATGTTGTGTCGCACGTAGCTCAAAAAGTATTTGACCTAGAGTCATGAAACTTTACAGGAATGTTAGTCAGCATGTGCAGTTTTGCACCTGAGGTTTTGCTTGCGGTTTTATTCTGTTTTGTCAGAGTTATTGCCCTTGACCCAGTGAAAATTTGCAATTTGTGTTGTGCTTAGCTCAAAAACTATTTTACCTAAAGCCATGAAACTTAATATGAAAGTTGGTGAGCATGTGTAGTTTTGTACTTTGGGGTTCGCTAGTGGATTTATCCTTTATTTTTAGAGTTATTTCCCTAGAATTAATAAAAAAATGCAAATTTCAAATTTGGTCGTGTATAGCTCAAAAAGTTTTTTAACCCAAAGTCATGAAACTTTAAAGTAACGTTGGTTGGCATGTGTAGTTGTGCACTTGATTCTGGATCTATTCAGTTTTTGAAGAGTATTTGCCCTTGGCTTAGTAAAAAATTGTTAATTTTCAATTTGTGTCATGTGTAGCCCAAAATAATATTTGACCTAGAGTCATAAGTTTGACAAAACAGTAAAGTGTGGGGGCACCTTTGTCCTATGGACACATTTCTAGTTTTTTTTTCTTGTCCACAGTGATTCCGGCTAGCTAGTGTCGGAGATTGAATACCGCTTAAACCGGTGCTATGAATCATGAGAGACGTTGCACTGTTTAATATTATCTTTCATAAACAGACTCAATCAAACCGAGCTTCCAATTGTTGTATTCATTGCTTTAGAGGGATCACCGGTTTTGACATCATTAAATACAACCTGGAACTGTCAGTTAGAATTGTCAAAGATGCAGTTGCCATAGGGAATATATGAAACCATTGAAAAACTTTTACAATACAATGTTAAGGACAGGTCCCAATATTATTCTTGTAATTAACTGACAACAGAGTATTTGGCCGGTTTACATTTTTCAATAAATACAGCAATCTGAAAACGCTGTAAGATATATACACTGGGAAGTACATTAATCAATAAAAAATACAAATCAATGAAAACAAATATAAAAAAAAAACAACAGCTTTTATCAATTAGATTGTCCTTAGGAATCATAAACAAGGATATGATGGCATAATTATGTAAAGAGAACATAGCACACACTGTATGAAAATTACCATTTGATTTCTTGATTTCTGGAGCACGTCATTTTATAGCAAGGATTATCACAGTATATATAGTTACAAAACAAGTCTACTTTTGTTACCGCATGAGTGGTTCGAGCTCTCAAGTAAGGTACAGTGATCGGAAGTAACACGTGCTTGTAATCTCGAGACAGGGTAACATTGATTAGTTTACGCTGGCAAAACAGGGTACAATAATGTCGTTTATCTACTTTAATTGATTATTTACATTTTGTAATAATATTTAGGCATTTTATTGTATCTTTGTTTTAATACAAAGTGTTTTCGTCATGCATGATGAATATTGTTTATATATATTGATGTATCATTTAAAGCAACCGTATTTCTTGATTATTAAAAAAAAGAAAATCTGACCATTTATTTTTGCATATTTAAAAAATAAATGTAACATTGAAATATATAAAAATTGCATGTACCTTACTAAGCGAAAATTCATTGTAAAATAAGTCACTCTTAAAATAATCCTTTTACACTAGATGAAATCAAATATTATCTACTCGATTTGTTCACCGATCTTTTCATCATGTCCGTTAGAACAAAAATCATCAGTTTTTGGCTTGTTTATGTCATACATACTCTCTGCTAAAAGAATAACTTTAACGGTTTTATATTTTATTTGAATTAAACATTGATTCACAACAAATGAAATGGTAATAGATTGTATAAGGATACTTAAGTATAGTTGAAAGGTCTATTCAGTGAAAATATGTAACAGTTTGCGGCTCAGAATCTACACTTGACAAACACAACATCTCCACATCCGTATATTAATTCTCAAAGTATGGTCAGTTACAATTATTTTTACAAAATACTTTAGATTCTTTACGTCAAATAATGAATTTGTGTTTATTTTGTGATTTTTAAATCTCATTTGCAAAAGACAAAAATAAAGAAACAGATGTTTATAGATGTTTTTAAAAAGTATAGATTTGCGACAGAAACTAGTTTTTTTCATGTATACTATAGATATTGTTTAGTTCTATTTCGTTACAAATTTCCTTAAAGAATTACATAATTGTCTGCAGCTGTGTGTGATTTCGGATTTTTCATATTTCTATTGGCAAGATCTTACGCCATTTAATGTTTTTTTTTCATCTTGCTGGTAAATAAGAAACATGCGTAAACAAAAATGCGTCATTGCAAATCAAGGATATAATATATCTTACATTTCAAAATATAAGAGTGCAATTGTGTCTCGATTTAGTATTTAAGGTAATTATATTATTATTAAAGATTGTAACTATCATGGCATCTAGGTTTTTTTTTTTTTATTTTCTTCCATTTTTTGAAATAATTAACAATAATTAAATTTTTGAGCAATAATGGATCGAAGTGGTTAAAAGGATGTGAGATCAAATATTCTTAAAAGGATATAAGTTTAATTTAAAGACGTTTGTTAATGAAATTAATTTTTAAAGGTAAATAATTGTAGATAATTTACGTGATCAGTCGGAAGTGTTTGTTGTTTATTTTCTCGTTATGTCTTTGGAATACTCATGTTAATCAGTTTACTATTTTTGTAAGGCAGATATAACAAATAACATACTAGAACTAAAAATGGGAAGGTGATACATGAAGTGAACAAAATGCTACACAGCTACGAATTTCTTACTTTGTATTTATAGCTTAATTTCTTGAATTGAATCAAATTATATAGGTAAATGGGTAAAGTTATTTTTTAAGTTTAGTTAAATCAACTTAATAAACCTTATAACTGTGAACAGCTTTTGCGTTCAGAATCATTAACTTATATAAGAGCTTGTCGGCTTAAATAAAGACCTTGTTAACGCGTGTACATATATATAAAATATGAATAAAATATTTGTGGAGAGCAAATCATGTAATGGCTAATCTATGTCTGTTTCTTTATAACAAAAATACAGATTTTCCAAATAGTCATATTCTACAGGTATGACACCGGTCAGAGGGATGAATCCGACAATTCCATGTTTGTTACAACGTTTGCAGATATACATTCTAACAGCGTTCGTTTTGTTTATTCTCATGGGTTCAGGTATAGATAATTGTATCATAGTTTGGGGAACATTTTTGTTGAAAATGTGTCATAGTTAAATCGTATACATATACATGCACAATGAGTTAAGTGGAGTGCAGGTATCAGTTACCCGCACTCCAAAGCATGCCCGTTGATTGGCTTATTTTTGCTGGGGTATTATTGTGGTGCCAGGAAAACGGAAAGCGATAACAATATCATATTCAGATGCACGTTCATTGGTTACCTTTTTTCTGGGGTGTCATATTTTGACAACAGGGAGCGTGTTTTTATGTTTGAATATGATACAAAAGAGTAAGATTCAGGTATAAATAAATAACATTTATTATTGATTTTAATCAATGTGATAACGGCGAAAGAACAACAAGGATAACATAACAAATGTAGATTCTACTTAAAAAAAAGAATATAAAGGCTTGCAAATGGTCTTTGTTTAAATGACATCCATAAATGTCTACTGTAATTTCAATTAACAAATACATGTTTTTCAAATTAAACGAATATATGGACCTCGGATTTCCGTATGTTTCGTCACTCAAATCTTATACCTAAGTTGTAAATGCATGTTATTATTGGATTTAGAATAAAAACGATATTAAAATGTTTGTGTTTGAACTGTCATGCAGATAAAACTATTGTAATACCAGTTTAAAAAAAAAAGATTATTTTGTTCTAATTTGTATGCAGTATTTATTAATGTGAAAAATGTTTCGGCCAAATATGTACGCGTGATTATGGTATTAATTTGATTTTTTTAGGAAACAATTTTAGTAATGGTGCCAGCTATAAGGATCAAAACAGAGACTGGAATGTAAGCTCTATCAAACTGCATGATCAGATAATGACAATGGTAAATGAACTCGTATGTTACTTTGTTTTAACCCTAAACCTGACAGTACCGATGTTATAAGTGCAGATCATGATCAGTCAGTGCTGTCTGATAATGGTCTGCACTGTTTGTTATTCAGACAGTAGTGATTTCTATGAGTTCACTTAAAAGATAATTCATTTTGTCCAGATTTAAGATGGACAAGTCCATTTTAGCTATCTAGCAGATTAAGTACAGGTTGATTATGCATGCTTGTTAATAAAGGAATGTAAAAGATGTAAAAGATATTTCACAAGCGTGACTTGAAATTGTAAAATAATGTCAAAACTATGATTGTTAATTTCATTATTTGATATCTTACCGCTATCAACCTTTGTTTACTTAAACACATGTATTTTTATTCAAGTGTTTTATAATGTTTTGCTCATCACAGGAAGCACAGATGCGAGAAGTGAATAGAAGATTGGAACACGCAAAAGAGATGTGCAAAATTATTTCAATAGCTGTTCATAGTAATTTTTCAAAAACAAACAATCTCTACTATTGTAAAATACCAAAATGCGCATCTGCATTTGTCGATACATTTTTTAACTACTTGGAAACTGGAAATAAAAAAAGTTACAATAACGCTCTCACAGACCTGCAAATATCTTCGCTTTCAAGACACAAATTCATGTTTGTAAGAGATCCGTATTCTAGACTATTCTCTTTATATGAAGGGTATTTTTATCATCCGAGCGACGTTTGGTATACCGTAGGAGTTGACATAATTTCTAAAGTTAGGAATAACACAGCTTCGAGGACATTAAACTTGGGACATGATGTTACGTTTACAGAGCTTGTTAAATATATAGTGATGTTAGATGATAAAAATATGACGTCTAGTTTTTTTTATCCCATGTCTTCTTTATGTAATCCGTGTGAATCAAATTTTGATTTCATTGGTAAGCTTGAAACCTTTTCTGACGACCTTGCCGTGCTAGTGAATAAATATCTTAACAAAAACGCAACTCTAAACAGAATCATAACAATTAAAGAAATTGAATCAGAAATTAAATATAGACACTCAATAAACTGGATTACTGAAATGTATCAAATGTACACAAAGTACAAATCTGTAATTCCACAGTTTGAACTGCTTCAGAGGTTTTGGTCGAGTTCACAAATTCGCGGAAAGATATCAAAGTATTACAACATTCCGTACTTCAAAGATGACCAAGGAGTTATAGACGAAAACACGTTTACAAGATCTTTTCAATCCGCTATGTATGCAAGTAAAAGTTATTCAGAGGAACTGAAGGCACAGCATCAAGAAGCATTGGTACAAGCTTTTAGAAGTGTTCCAATACAGTTAATACAAAAATTGAAAAAGATTGTTGAGAACGATTGTCGTTTATTTGGGTATGACAATGAACCAGACATTCTGTTTAAGAGACAAACAATGAGTGATAAATTGCAAAACGTCCATGACTACTTTCAGGGTATTTAGTATACGAGAGATTTATTAAATAGTAAAAACACTAAATCTTTTTTATTTTCTCACGAAAGTTTTTTTTTAACTTATATTATGAATTTTAATCTTCAATATTTACAATTATTTATTTCTATCATTTCGCATTACGGTACTTTTCTAAAATGCTGAATGTTGAAGTGTTGCCAAAGAATGATTTATCTAGATAGAAAGCAAATCACAAGTAAAAATAAGTTCAATAACTTTTCTCACTCGTTGGTCATTGTCTGAAAGGGAAAGCAACATGTAAAACAAATAAGCTTCGTACGAGAATTTTTCTACCTGCTGCAGAAGGCTTGTCAAATGATAACGTCGCCGTGACGTCATACTTCCCTTTTAAGTCAAGAGTACTGGACCGTCTCCACGATAGACTATTATATCTGGGGTCAGGGGATGTTTTATATATAGCAAAATAATTTTGTTATTAAGTTGTCGGTTTACTTATGAACGGACTGCATCTGTCGCAAGTAATTGGAAGAAATGACTGTAAAAAAACATACTAGTGAAGAAACAGTCAGATGAATAATTTAATTAATGACTATTTGGTTATTTCATTTGGTGTAAGCACAAGTAAAGCAAATAATTGACATCATATAAATTCAGTGAACTTGTTTTATTATGATTATTAAACATTATCTTAAGTATTTAATCAATTTTGATAAATAAAACAACTTAAAAGAAAATATCAAAATTGATGATGTGATAATGTTAAACATTGAGACTTTCACAATTTCTGTAATTTATTTAATGAAGTAAAGTATTGTCTTTTTTATATCTAGAAGTCTACGGAAAGATATAAATTCTTGTAGTATGCTTAAAGCTTTGAGGATAATTAGATTGAGGCCAATTTTTTTTACCAACTTAAACATTTACAGGTCAGAGTTTCAAGGTCGTATTAAACTTTAAATGAAGATAGGGTGGAGAAAATGACCAGTAAAATATCAAATGTTCAGCAGTAAAATATCAAATGTTCAGCAGTAAAATATAAAATGTTCAACGCAATTATTTGAGTGAGACAGCGTGTGCAGTCGTAGAAGGAATTAGATATTCATCCGCGAAAGAAATATGTTTGCTTTGGTTTAGCAATTACAGTTCTGCACTATATTCTTTGTTATTTTGAAATCAGAGCATACGCTCACCAATTTTTATAGACAGGTTATAGATTTTTTTAGATAGTTTTATTTTGGTAAAAAGTACATGTCATAAAACAACTACAAATTCAATGTCAACATCAAGAGATACATTTGAACATGAAAGTGCATATGTTGATGCCATATATTCAATACCAAGGATGACACAAAAAGAAGGCATAAGCCGACTTATTTCCATTGTGGTTTAAACGTTCTAAACGTTTAAACGTTTTAAATCCTGTACACTTACTTTAAATTTGTAATGCAAAAATGATTGCCCCTACACTATAGGGAGGTCTAACGACACTATAGGGAGGTCTTATGACACTATAGGGAGGTCTTATGACACTATAGGGAGGTCTTATGACACTATAGAGAGGTCTAATGACACTATAGGGAGGTCTGATGACACTATAGGGAGGTCTTATGACACTATAGGGAGGTCTAATGACACTATAGGGAGGTCTTATGACACTATAGGAAGGTCTAATGACACTATAGGGAGGTCTAATGACACTATAGGGAGGTCTAATGACACTATAGGGAGGTCTTATGACACTATAGGGAGGTCTTATGACACTATAGGGAGGTCTTATGACACTATAGGGAGGTCTAATGACACTATAGGGAGGTCTAATGATACTATAGGGAGGTCTTATGACACTATAGGGAAGTCTAATGACACTATAGGGAGGTCTTATGACACTATAGGGAGGTCTAATGACACTATAGGGAGGTCTTATGACACTATAGGGAGGTCTAATGACACTATAGGGAGGTCTTATGACACTATAGGGAGGTCTAATGACACTATAGGGGAGGTCTTATGACACTAAAGGGAGGTCTAATGACACTATAGGGAGGTCTTATGACACTATAGGGAGGTCTTATGACACTATAGGGAGGTCTTATGACCTCCATTATAATGAAATGTCTCCCCATCTATTCATTTTTGTACTGTTTTATATCGTATATATACATTGTATGTATTGTAAGAGAATTTCATATTGAACAAAATCGCTCAAACTCACAGGCATTGATTTGGTAACATGTGATCAACATATCATAGAAAAACTACACAGAACTGAATGTAATTTATTTTCTTGTGGAATGTGATCTGATCAAGGTAAGACGCTTACATTTTGTTTTATTTTTTTATGTTTGACAGATTGAGGTGTTTTCATGTTTGTTTTACCTTTTTGTCCGCAAATCTTAGGTACAGCTGTAATCCATTTTTGATATTAATACAGGTTTTCATTTTGATTGATCAGATTTTGTTTATACATATATGAGTATACATTTTTATGTTTTACAAGATTTAACTCGTACAATGCAACGTATACGTTTAAGAGTCGATATAATTCAAAACTGGGATTGATATGTAGTTGGTTTTATAATCAGGCGTTTGACACAAAGTGCCGCTGTAAAAGTTTACATTCCAAGGTTCATATAATTGTATAAATTTATATTTTCATTAAACTTCATTCATTTAATCTAATAACAACGGTGTCATGTTTTCGGTATTAGTTTATAGTTAGATTGAAAAAAATCGTTTGCCTTTAATTACTTTGATCTCACATAAATACGTGGCATATTGTTGTTTTGTAGAATGTCAGCTAAAAATCATATAGTTGTAACAGGGGGTGCTGGATATGTCGGTAGTCACGTGGTTGTAGAATTACTAAAAGAAGGTTATCACGTGATAGTCATCGATAGATTGGACAACTCTAAAATTGGTAAATTTCAAGTGAACCCTTACTTGTATTGAGGTACAGAAGCAATTTCATTGGACATTTTAAATAGGTCTCATATCAAAATAGCTCACACTTCTGTTGATCGTTTGCACACTGTTAATGATTTGAAATGAAATATTAGTATTGTTTACTCGACAAACAATGTTCTTATAAAATTACAATAACGTTTCATACATTGAATATTAAAAACAAATAAACCATTTCTACGTTTCTCACTTATAATACCATATGTTTCACAAAAAAACAACAAAAAACAAAACTAAATATTAAAATACATTCGGACATCAAATTTCAATTAAAATGAGTCGTAAAAAAAGCAAATATGCGATAAACTTAGTATACTTACATACTCGTATCTTACCAATATGAACCGATAATGAGTGTCTTCATTGCAGAATCATTCTAGACGAGACCAGACTTTAACATATTTACACATATATACGATAATTATATTTCAATACGATTAGTATATTAAGAGTAAATGCAATACAAATACAAAGTAGCTATTAAAAAGATTGACTCAATGGGCAAAAGCACTTTCTATGAATTATATATTTAACTGTTATTTGTAGAGGCGTTAAAACAAGTAGAGGTTATTACTGGAAAACCAGTTCAAGCTCACAATGTAGACATTACGGATAAGGAAAGTCTAAATCTTATCTTTCAAGAGGTAATTACAGTTAGTCCTGTTTTGGGTAGGTACCACATAATATCTTTTGTTTTATGATATATAAAAGGTTGAAATAAATTACTCGAGGTTCCATTTATATAAAGAACGTCCATACACTACTACCCATGTGGCATTCCTCCATGCCAAAAAGGTAAAACAATGTATTGCATTGGTTACGACGAGAGAAAGCAAAAGAAAATATTACTTAATAACTGTTCATATGTATTTCGATTCGGTATGGACTTTTTTTAACCCATTTCGTTTCACTTTGCAAAGACCCACGATTGCTTTCAAATAATCTTGTCAATGATAATGTTGTAACGCTTCTAAAAAGGTAACTATTTACGGCGTTAACGAAGCTCTTGGTTCTTTTTTTGAAATTAGAGATAGATTTTATTCTTAGAAATATATCCAAAGCTTATATTTTTATTGAACATTTATTCGTATAGTAGCGTATAAATTTTCATGTTCATTCATAAGGGCAAAATGACGTAATCATAAACAGTAATTCATTTATAGAAGGCAACGGAATGTCGCCATCTGGAGCACGCGACATGTTTTAAAGGGTTTTCTAGCTGTAACTAAGTATAGGTTAAAGTTTAATAGTACGCCGCGCCTGACCAATTTATTTTTGTAAATACGAACTAATAAACTTTAACCTATACGTAAGGAATGCCAATCAAATGTTTATGTGTGAAAGAATCGAATTAAACATCTTTACTCTGTTTCAGAATAATGTATCTTGTGTGATACATCTGGCAGCTAAGAAGTCACATAAGTTGTCAATTCAGTCTCCTTTGAACTATTACAAGAACAACGTTGTCGGGCTGGTAACACTTTTAGAGGTAATGAGTAACAAATCAAACGTCATAATTTGCGCCACTGATAACGTAGATGTATCGTTTACATATTTCCATTTCGCCACCTTTTATCTTTTAAACACCACTTGAATTGCATGCCATACATTTAAGATGAAAATATAATAGAAATTAAACGGATCTTTTCCAATTATTTTTATTAATAGCCATCAAAGCATTGTAACAATATTATTTTTGTTTGTTTTTATAAATGATTTCTTACGCGAATGACATGCATTTATTTTTGTCACCGATGCGCTCCCATACCATACAGTGTTGTAGTTGTAAGGTAACGTACATGAATAATAGCTTTTCATGTCTTTCAATCGAAATTGACAATCCAAGAAGCTGACACACAACATGCTAGCAATATCACTGTGTGTACAATAAAATTGTAGCGTCTGTAATATTAAAACAATGTTCACAATAAAGGGTAACGCTTTTTCGCTACTATATGAAGAACTATGTATGATAGATATGGATTTTCTATGATACATACATGTCAGTGTTCATTTAATTGTATATATTTTGATGCTGAATCCGCTGATTACCAGCAGCTAGGTTTATGCCTAATTCACAATTATGCAGCTACTAACAACTTTAGGCTGATTCAATATTTCTTCGAAAAAGAAATGGTGTTTTAGCTTTCCAGACACATTAATGTATACTTGCTCGCCATTTTAAGCAAAGATTAAAAACAAAATTACTGAAAAAATGTACACATTTGAATAGAAATTTTACCTTTAAGATCTGGTCATGATACCGTCAACATGTTTGAGCTTGCAGGTAATGAAGAACCACGGTGTGTATAGAATGATATATGCCAGTTCCGTAGCAGTTTACGGCCATCCAAATCATTTGCCAATTGATGAGCAGCATACGGCTGGAGATGTTAACGACCCATACAGTAGAACAAAATATTTTTGTGAGGAAGTCTTGAAGGATTTATGTATAGCTGAAGAGGTTAGAATTTTGGATTTAATTGACAACTCATTGTACTACTTAAAGGACTTCACTTTTTTGGAATGGCGAGACTGGATATACGAGTTCCGAGATTTGTTTACCTTTTGATGTAGGTCTATACAAATAACTTGTGTGCAAATTTTCAGATATTCCCGTCACCGTCATTATTTTCATTGTGCTAAAGAACACAAAAAGGTAACTCAAATAAGTCTAGGAATCGCGCAAAATAAATCGATATTCAATTAAATTCTTAGTGTATTTCTTTCTCATCCTTTGCCAGCTTTTCTCCTTTGCAGATTTGTCCTTTACAAGTGTTTCATTTATCTATTTTTAAGTTTTAAGGCTTTTTGACCTCAGTGAAGCTCCTTTTAAAAACAAAGCTTTAAAAGAAAACACGATGCCATGAAGTTACGGTGGTGTGTGAATATATATATATATTATTCTTTAATCTTAGTGTATATTTTTCAGGATTGGAGTATTATTACCCTACGATTGTTTAACCCAGTTGGCGCGCACAAGTCCGGGCTTATTGGAGAAATCATGACAGACAATCCACCAAACCTCATGCCGAATATCGCAAAGACTGCACTAGGAAAGCAAGATCATTTCATTATATATGGTGATAAATACAAAACAATAGATGGAACAGGTACAAGATAAGACCTTAAATAATATCCTATGTAACAAAATTTTTATCAAAACAAGTTTAAGAAAATGTAGGTTTCTTCGAGTTAAAATAAAGTTTAATAATTATTATATGGCAACGAATGTGCTACTTTTTATCACATACATAAAACATTTGTGAAATTTAAGAAAATTATCTTGTTATGCGTGCTTTTATGCAGTTTTCCTTGCGAAATATAAAGGCAAAAAGATCAAGATTTACTATACATTTGTTAAATAAAGAAATGCTTAATTATCTTTATTATTTTTATGATTTTACATGTAATGGAAATCAAGCGCTGTCATGTAATAAATTGTTTTACGATATAGTATGAAAATTTATTTTTACCATATTTTATAACAGGATGTATATGAAACTAAATTGACACCCTTATGCATGTTTGTGAATTGAATTAAAAGTGTAAATTGTAGTTGGTAGAATTCACAGATACATTTTTGCCATCTTCTGAAATAATCTTAACTCACAAATTGACGTATATATTCAGGTGAGAGGGATTATACGCACGTTGTTGATATTGCAAAAGGACATATTGCAGCACTAAAAAAGATAGAAGCTATAAACGGTTATAAGGTTTGTACAGTAACAAAAGGGAAGTTCTATAAAATTTTACGCAAATCAAGACGCGGCGGGAAAATGAAAAGATACACCATGCCCATCTTTGGGTAAAATACATGTTTTGTAGAATTCTATAAAAAATAATTTAAGAAGTTCCTAACGTTAATGAATATGTATAATGTGATCTTGTTTTGTTTGAGAAGCTGCATTCCCTATTACTGTGGAATTTTGTCTTTTCTTAAGAAACTGCCTGTGTCAAACATGACAATATGTATTCACACTGTGTTTACAAGTTTAAAACTTCGAAAAAATGGTTATTTTACATTTAAAAATTGTATGTATAACAAACATCATTATATTAGAAATAATTCATAAACAATGGAATTCATGCAATTGATGTTTCGTAGATACATTATACAAATGTAAGATAAAATATGCTCGACTGAACACACCTTTAATTGATGTTTTATACATAATACCGGTTAAACATTTTATAAGAAGGTCTGATGGAAAAGTTATTGTATCATTTTAGTGTTACTGAAACTTTATTAACTTTATTAAGTTTAGTTTTTAACTTTTCAAAATATATTTTATTTATTTTTTTTAATTTTTACCAAATTTCTGTAAATGATATAATAAAGATCATTTTAACTTTTCTATTCAATGTCGGAATCATTATAAACTATATCATACAACAGGTGTTTAACTTGGGGACTGGAAGTCCATGCTCAGCTCTCAACATGGTGAGAGAATTTGAAAAAGCATCAGGAAAAACAGTGAGTGATCTTTATAATATAGAAAATAATAATGGAATTAAATTATATCAACTTCAAAGAGTTCTCTCGGTTCGATATTTCTTTCAGGGTAGAGATAATTTACACTTGAACTGTTTACACGTTGGGCGTACAGTGCTTTACATGCATTAGCTTAAATAGATCTGAATAGAAAATTGATTTAAATAACAGGTTAAGCCTATCTAAAATTTGATATTCTAAACACTTATTTAAGGGAAAAACGCTGAGACTGAGTGATTAATCCTTTATATCTACAGATACGAGTATTTCCTTTATTTATTTTATTTGTTTACTGTAGATTCCAATCGCATTTAAGGAACCTCGATCATATGACACGCCCACGTCATATGCAGACATTTCATTGGCCAGGAAGGAACTTGAATGGAACGTTGGCTTGAATATAACAGATGTCTGTAAGTTGATAAAAAGATGTTAAATGTCCATTTGCGTTGCCTTTTTTATGATTGTTTTACTAAAATTCATCTTTATTAATGTAGTTTTATATCAAGCTATACACAGGCATGTAATATTTATCAATAGTGAATCACAATTCAATTAATTAGTAGATAATGGATAAAACATTTTTTCTTTCAGGTACAGATGCGTGGAGATGGTATACTAACAACAATCAGAAATAAAACATGTTTGAAGAAACATATTATCAAAAATATCTATTTATTATTACATCATTATTTTACTTAAAAGGGTTTATTTTGCTTAAGCAGATGCTAGGGGCCATACACAGCAGCTTCTACTTTCCAGTACTGTCCATGAACAGACTCAATCAAAGCGAGCTTGCACCATTTTCAATTTTTCCGTTTCGGATCTTATAATCTTATTATTCTCTTTGTGTTATATTTACTTACATTTTGCAACATGGGTTCACTTAACTATATTGCAATAATAATACAATAGTGCATGGACATGTATTTGGATAAAAATGTCATAGATGTTAAATGTAAAGGCTATGTGTTCGCATATTTTTGAAAGCAGTTGAAAAATAAAGTTTAAAATTCTAAAAGAACATTTTGCACTATTTTCTAATTTGATAAATTTAAATCAACATCAATTAAGAATAGATGTTACACAGAATGATCTTAATGTTCAATTAGTAAACATATATATGGCCAGTTACAAGTAAATTGCCGCCATTAGTCATAGACTACACGTTTCTCTTGCTTAAAGCACCGAGATACATGATCTAGGTCCTACTCCTTGAGAAATTTCTTTCGATGATTGTTAATTAAATAAGGTCGTGCCATTATACCATGTATAAACTGTGTTGTGTTACGAATGTAGCATTAGCTGTTTGTTTGCTGTTGTTGCTTCTACTGTTATTGTTGTTTTCTTTGTTTAATTAGCAAAAAGAAGCGTTTTTTTCTATTTTAACACACCCCTACAAATGGGTTAAAATTTTTGTTCTCTCTCTCGCTGGCAAATTTCTCTTCTTTCCTTCTTCTGTCCTACAAAATTTATCTTACTGTACTGTTAATCTCAGAAGGAATGAAATTCCCATTTTCCATGAACGTAAAAATACCGATATAATTTCGATATAAATACTGATATAATGTCGATTTTGCTTAAATGTATCGATATAATGTCGATATAATATTTAACCAATTTAATAAATCGGTATATTAGTTCGGCAAACTTCAAAACCTCATTACACTAATAAAACCTTTCTTGGTAACACGTTTTTATGATGGTATTAAGCGGGAAAAGGCGATATAATCCGAATATCGCTAAGTACATATATAACATTTTGTCAGGCATTTATTCTAAATGCATAGCTTTCACAGACATTTTCTGAAAGCTTACCCCTTCAAACACGTATATAGACAATAATAATATACTGTAAATTTGAATAACTTTACTTCTGAAATGATAAATTTCAACATTTCACAATTTTATAAATAAGGTATTTGTATTTTAACACAAAAATACCTATTTTACATATTAAAATGTTTTATTTAAGATTTCTGTATCAAATCTGATTAACCAAACTTCAATATTCCAACTTGACCTTAATGTCCAAACCTATTTTTTAAAACTTAAGTTGATGCGTTTCATTTAGAAATAGAGTATACAAAAAGGAGCATAATTTATGTTTCATTAATGACAATTAAGTACTAGTATTATGCATTTTATCGGAATATAAATAATCTATTGGTATTAATCTGTGGTGTGAAAATATATGTAATATATGTAAATCATGAAAAGCCCTCAAGAACATAAAAACTAATAGGTGAAAATTGTAGACTTAAATTTAATGACTTTTCAGAAGAGAAATAAAGTACAATATCTCTCACGCACAGGCACTTAAATTGTTTAAAATCTGATTTCAAATTTCAAGTCAAAACATTGTACAATGTATTAGTAACTCAAAGACCAATGGCCCCTGATTTTGTCGAAATAAAAACATGAATATACCGATATATTTATTCTTATAATGATTTAATCAATTCATTTGAGTTAATATTTAAATATTTATCAGTTTACGTTAAAAAAAAATAAATAAAGAAAAACAAATTTAAACACGATTTACGAAACAAACATAAAACATAAAATAGTTTAGTTGAGTGATGTGATTCAATTATGGACAATTCGATTTCTTCACGTCGTTAACAAGGAAAATATTTAACAAGTTCAAATATGTATGGTTTTTGTTTCTCGTTTTTTTTTAAATTTCACGTCATAGAAAAATACCCGTCTTATTTTGAAATCGCTGAAGCATGGTTGTTATTACTGATGGATATAAATACGAAGAGGAAGAAACTAATCGCACCCTATTTGATACAAAGTAAATGCGCACAGTTAAACCTTAGTTGCAAGTGACTGAAGAAAAGAAAACAACAACAGAAATATAAAGATGAAACAATTTACCCATATTGTAGGGGCTTTAATTGTTTTAACATTTTTATATGGTGGTTGTTACGGATATATCAATGTACAAGGAGACATTATGGTGGCCGGTCTGTTTGGAGTATTTGAACGTAGCGGACAAACTTGTAGCACGGACGTTGATATTGATTCGGTAATGACTGTTGAAGCTGTAAAATGGTATATTGAAAAACTGAATGAGGTGGGAAATTTGCCTATTAATATAGGTAAGTTATGTTTCATTTAAAGTGACATTATGCTCATATTTTCATTGTCAAGTTGAGCTGAATTTGACATTATATTTCAAAAGATTGACTGTTTAAATGATGTTTGGCCAACAGATTATATAGGATAAAATTAAAAATCTGCCTAAAATATAAAAGACTGCCCAGTCTTTTTATAAATTGAAGGTTAAGGTAAATTCTAAATGATATTTACTGAAATTTCGTTTAAATCCGGTGGTTATTTATTGTTTATGCGAAGTAAAGAATTAAATCAAAAGGAATTAGGGCAAAATGAATATTTTTTTGACTCTCACCTGTTCACTCACTATATACCTTTAGATGGGCATAATGTCACTTTAATTAAGTAATTTTAAGCGTTCTCTTTGTGTATGTGCGTTGTATCTCGTTGTATGCACTGTGAATCAAACTTCATAGCAATTCTTTTAAAGTGACATTACGCCCATCCAAGTGTAATTTGTGAATGAACCTTAAAAGATCAAAACAACTTGACATTTTGCCACAATTGTATTCAACTTTATATTTTACTGTATATAATCAATAATTTATGTGACCAATGGAAAGAAATTTCTATAAATACCTTAAAGAATATATTGGTAACGTTCAATTCTTTAAACGAGCGGGGTAGTCTTTTTTATAATTCAGGTCGTTTTATTTGGTATCATAAACATTTTTCATCATCAATTATTGGTCAATTACCATTATGATGGTCAATCTTTTGAAATATATCACTAATTCAACTGAACTTAACAGCGAATAAATGTGAATGTAATGTCACTTTAATGTTATTGTGTGAGGTTCAACACTTACACATCAACTTAATTCGTCAATCATTGTATGTAACAAGTTTCAAGTTTCAAGTTTATTTCAAAGTACATTTGGACAATATGTCCATGCATACACAGTACATATAACAAAGCATACAATACAATCAAATGGTCAATGTCACACTTTATAAAACATATATCATTAAGTTACACAGTATTTTTAGCAATCAGAAAACGTAAACTACAGATATAATATACTATCAACATGTCTCAATTCATAAACTGGTAAATAAATACTAAGGAAAGATACCATCCTATTAATAAGGAAGTAAATCACAAAACAAAACGTAAAAAGTTTATGTAAGATACAGTTATACAGCGTTTGGGACAAACTTTTGATTAACTATAAAGAATAGTGTTTCGAACATCGAAAGCTTTAAATATATACATTGATAAGTTTCTAATTTCTATTTCATTTTCTGAATTCATCAATGTAACAAATTTAGGTATATTTGGTCTTTCCCAAAAGTGTTTTTTTATATATTTTTTTCGTAATTCATTATATAGGGAACATTCTAAAATAAAGTGAAATTCATCTTCCAAAATAAAACAATTTTTACATTTCCTATCATCAAAAGGTATAGCACTAGGTTTGTTCCACCTGCCGATACTGTAAATATATACTAGTGGGTTACCGAAATAAACTATTTCTCTTTATCTTTTTATTCCTAATTTGTCAAAAAAAAACCCACACAATTATAAGGACAAATTATATTGTAAAATAGATCTAGATGATGAAAATGACCTGTCTTAATTACGGAATAGTATACTTACCACCCTAATATAATTTATATGCCTGTTTAAAATAAGACGATACATAATTAAAAGGTAGTTCGTAATGGCGTGTTTAAAGTTATTTACATAGTTCATATTGATCTTTTCTCTTCTTTACTACTACACTCGTGCAAAGTTGTTGTATTCTAAAGCATTGCCCAGTCTCGTTGCCGTTGTTGAAAATCCTATCTGAAGCAATCGTTTAGGTTTTGGTACGGCATAAAAAAAAAATAACATAAAAACCTCATTATATTGGTTTTTAAAACAAAACAAACAACATTTTTCTTTTTGCAGGTTTAGAATCATTTGAAACATGCCAGGTAGACGATATAGCCGCTGAGAAAGCTGTTGAAATTCTGAACAGGGATTCAAGCAATGGAACAGTTATAGGTAGGAGATTAACCAAATACATGTCCACAATATGTGAGATAATTTCCCTTATAACTGTACATGTAAATCACGTATCACTGAATAATTACCTTCCACATCAGCATTTAGCAAGGACAAACTATATATATGCAGTTGAATAGACGATTCTGGCGCGGCCATTTTGAATGTTTATCTTGCCTTTCTTATTTTATTAAGGTAGCCTAGTATTAGTGTTGTATTAGCCACCATGTAACGTCAAAATATCCAATGTATTTGTAGTTTGCGTGATATAAACCACACATTTCCGATGTAATATATCGAGAATTATAACCAGGTTAAAGGGGTTAACAAATGAGTAGATTTGAAGAGACGACCGATTTTTAAGTTCTGTGAAATTTTCTTGTATGGCAAATTTTGTGTTATGAAAAGTAATTCAAGCTTCACACACTCCAACTATTCAGAAATAAAATATTACGTAAACCATGTTACAATTATGTTATTAACAAGCCTAAAGAGACAAAGTCAGATTTATTAAAGCCTTGCTAATATTGTATCAAATGAAATGAAATAAACTATTGGAAAAGCATTATAACGCGAATCAAGAGGCATTATTACGAGAAGCAAAAGGCGAAGTAACACGAATCAAGGCGTAATAACGCGAAACCAATGGCGAAATAACGCGAATAAAGGCGTTATAACGCGAAAAGTTCAAAAAACACGTTATACTGCTTTTTTTGCTTGTAAGCCTTAACTTTAACATTATTTGATTAATTAGGTTCCTCACAAAATTTTTTTAGTTTTTTTTTATTCGGGCGTTCTGGGCCAAAAAAAAGCTCTGGGGGGCCGGGGCTTTTTTCCCAAATTTTTAGGTGCCTACCAAAAAACAAAAACGAGCTTCAGATAGGTTTTCAACAACGGCACGAGACTGGGCAATGTTTTTAAAATACAAAATTTTGCACGATTGATCCAGATAAAAAGCTCGTTTCGGGTTTGTTCAAATATAAAATTAGTACAAGAAGAAAATCATTAAAAATTTTTAACTTTTTTTTAAAAAATATAATTTTATTTTGAAGGGTCTTTCGTTAATTCGTTTTGTTTGGTTTTTACACTATAAGGCGGGGTTTCCCATTGGGGAAATTACAGGACATTTATTTCTAGCGTTTATTTTTTTAATTTTGGTTTTTTTAAATTTTGTAAAAGCTTTTCTACTGGGTGCTGATCTAATTTTGATATATTTTTTTACTGATTTATAAAAAATGTTTTTTAAAATAGGTTTTTTGGATGGGTGGGTTTAGGCGTGTAAATGGTTTATTGTGCTTAAAAGGGATTGTGGTAGAAATAAAATTTTTTTGGGATAATAGAATTTGCTTTTTAAAGGGTAAGGTTTTTTGCTGAATGTTTTTTTGTGGTAGAAGTTTTATTGTGCGTGTAATAGATTTATTGTGCGTAAAATTTAGATTTTTTGTGCGTATAGATATTTTTGTGCGTAGTAGATACATTTTTAGAATTAAAAAATTTTCACGCCTGTGAAAGGAACCCAAATTTAGTTAAATTCCACCTTTCTTTTAATTTCCCCAAACTTAAATCACCCGTTTTTCTTGATGTATGTATATACAGAAGTAAACATAAATATAAATTGATTTTTTTTACGACCAATTAAAATCAGCAAGAAAACAAAGTTGGGTTGAACAATCAATGACTATATTTTTTTTGGTTGATGTTCATTTATAATTATTTGTAAAATAGGAATAAGCATTTTCGTTAAGCAACAACAAAAACCCCTTTTTTAGATTTTTGAATGACTTTTTTTAAATTTTAACCTATTTTAAAAATTTTTATCTATAAAAAAAAAAAAATAAAGAATAACAATAGATATTTTTTTAAAGTTGAAAAACCAAAACCCGGGAAAAAATTCAATTTTTTAATTTTTCGAAAAGGGTAAAGTAAATTAAAATTTTGTTTTTATTTTTCCATTTCTTTTAATATCCATTCATCTCGTTTATTTTTCATTTCAAAAAGATTTTTCCAAAAATACGTATTCGAAAATAACGTCTGTCATAACTGTAACAATGCATTTAACCCGTCTTAACAAACATTACTTTTTATTAAAAATTTAATTTCATTACAAAGACAAGTTAAAATAAAAAAAAAATGAAAAAGAATTTGAAAAATTTTTTCTAAACATTAATTAACCAATACCTTATTTTTAAATTTAATTTTGTAAACATTCATAGCTGAATTTTAAAAAAAAGGAGGCTCAATAACTCTGAGATTCCTCGAGTAAATTTAAAGCCCATTATCTCGTTATGGTTATAAAGTAGTGAAAAACTGAATTGAATAAGTTTTCCTTTGGGCCCTAATTCCTTTTAATTTTTCAATTAAAATAACATAACGATAAATAATACTGGCCCAAAAAATTTTAATAAATATTCACAGATTTACCTGTAAAGTTTAATTTAAAAAAAAAGGGGACAGTCCTTTTTTTATTTTTAAGGGGCCCAAAAATATTTTATATAAACATTTTCGAAAAATTTAAATGTTATATTATAGGTATTTTAAAATATATAGTCATTTCATCAAATTACAATGAAAAAAAAAGCATAAGTAACTTTTCTGAATTTTTGTAAAAAATTTGACTATCTTTTTTACGCACTGTAAATTTTTTTTTTCTTTGTAAAAAAAAAAAACGGGAAACGCGTCTTTAATTGACGCAAAATTTTCGATTAATAATAATATCTTCATTTCTTTTAAATTTGGGCGGTAACGGGGCTTCCAGTTAACGCCATGGGGGGGTTCCCGGGGGAAAAGGGATATTCCACCCGAACTAAAATATGTCAGATTTTTTTTTCTTCATATTCTGCCACTTTATTTGAATTAAAATTGGTTACCTCAAAAAAATTTTTGTTCAGGGAAATTAATGTCAAAAACCCCATAACATTTTCCTAAATAGCTATAAAATTTTAAAAAAAGAATTAATAAAAAAGGCAAAAATGACGTCACCTAAGAATATTTCCCCTTTTAAAATTGCGTCTTTTAACGCGGTTTTCATTCAAAAAATCCCGCTAAAAGACCTTTTGTTGTATGGCACGGACCATCTGGCATCCTTCATGCCAATAAAATTTCCCGGGATGGATAAAACGACGAAAACGCCAGTCTGCTTTGCAAGAAAAATTATATCTGTCATTGTTCGGTTCGGAAAGGGAATATCCGTCCGGGGACCCCCCCATTGGGCGGTAAAAAGGCTTCCGAGTTTCCGCCATGGGGGGTTCCCCGAGTTCGCCATATTTTTTAATTTTTAAAAGGGTTTACCTAAAATATGTTTAATGTGATGGAAATTAAAGTCTTCCACCCATAACTATTTTCTTACAATAGGTATGAACTTAAAACTGAAAAACAAGGGCGAAAGAGTCACCTAAGCACATATTTTCCCTTTTTTAAACGACGCCATTTTAACGCGTTCTTTCTAAAGTGCGCAAAATGACGTTGTTTTTTGGCAGCGACCATCTGGCACCCCATGCCAGATGAAATTTCCCGGCATGGGCAAAACCAGGGGAAACGCCAGTTGATATGCAAATAATAATATCTGTCATATGTTGGGGTTTTGGCCCGGAATACCCGTCCCAGGGACCCGCCCTTTGGGCGGAAAACGGGGCTGCGGTTACCCCCCAGGGGCGGGTTTCCGAGGGAGGGATTTTCCGACCAAACCGCAAAATATGTTAGATATTTTTTCTTGCTTTATTCGCCAATTTTTTTAAAATTTAAAAGGGTTTTACCTAAATATAATATGTTCTGGAAATTTAAAAGTCTTTTCCAAGTTTTTTCTTACAATGGGTAGAATTTTACAACTTAAATAACAGAATTATTTTTCTGCATAGCGAGGGCGTTTCCCGGAGTTTTACCCATCCCGGAAAATTTCATCTGCATGGGGGGGCCGGGGAAAGAGTCGCGTCCCCAAAACAACAAGTCTTTTTTAACGCACTTTTGAAAAAACCGCGGTTTTAATGACGTCTTTTTAAAAGGGAAAAATATTGTTTAGGAGATCATTTCCCTTTGTTTTTTAAAGGAATTTTCTAGCTTTTTAAAAAAATATTAGGATGAAATGACTTTTAATTTTCCCTGAGCATATATCTATTTAGGTAAACCTTTAAATAGAAAAAAGGCAAATAGCAAAAAAAATATCGACATTTGTTTGCGGTTCGGACCCCGAAAATCCCTCCCCCGGAACCCCCCCGGGCGGTAACTCGCAAGCCTTTTACCCCCAATTGGGGGGGTCCCCCCGGGGGGATATTCCGGCCCAACCGTAAATATGAAGATATTATTAACCCATTTTCCCTCCAAAAATACATAATTTTTTTATCAGTTAAAAAATTTAAGATGTGCAAAAAGTTGGAAAAGAAAAGTTATGAGAAAAGTACATGGGGTTAAAAGATCAAAATTTTATTTTTTCCATCACATTTCAGAAATTTTTTTAAAAATTTTTGCTTGCTACTTGGGTTAAAAGGGGAATTAGATATTAGTAAATAAATTTTACTCGGCATTTAAGATTTAACCACAAAGAATGGGATCATTTAAAAGTAGAATTTTTTCCATGGTTATATAAAATCTTTTAAACTTTTTCTAAAGAAAAAATGAAATAATGGTAATTGAAAAACCCCGATACACTTTCGTTAAATTTTAACTTTAACATTTTTTTTTTTTTAGGGCCTTCCTTTTCCGGAATATCCAAATTTTGAAAAAGCCCCCCCTATGCAACCATTTTTGGGAAATTTTTAAATAGGCATATGTAATTTTGGGAATTTTAAAAAGTCACCAAAGACATGTAAACGTTAATTCGCAGGTAAATAGTAATCTTTAAGGCCTTTTCTACTTTTATGAGCGAAATATATATTTTCCCTTTGGAGTTCCCTTTTCAAAAATTTTTGTTCATTAAATTTAAATTTTTACGGAACAAATTTTTAAAAACAGCGATCAAAAAAATCGCAAAAATGTAATGTTTTAAAAACAACTACTCAAGGGAAATTTCTTTTGGAAATTTTCAGGTTGGGAAAGATAGGGTTAATTAACGGTTAAAGGCTATTACAAAGATATTCTGTTAAATAATTATACGTACCGACAGAGAAATTAAACGTTTTTTGAACAAAAAAGAATTCCAAAAATAATTTTTAAAGGCTCCCAAAAAAAATAAAAATTTTAGAAAAAACCCCCGCATCTATTTAAACCCCTCAAGAAATGATTTCCCTATACTGATAACATCTTAAAAAATGATTTTCCATAATTTAAATTAAAAAGCTAATTAAAGTGTTTTTCCCATAACGTAATTTCCTAAAAAAATTGATTCCTATTTATCCCATAATTATCCTAATTAAGAAAATTAGGGTCAATAGGTTCCTATTATCGTCTTTAAAGGACAAAAACCCCAGAAGCAAAGAAAAAAAACAAAAAAGTACTCGGTTTATGTTGGTCGTTCAGAGAAAAAATGTAAAAATGAAATCTTTCAGCCCTTTCACCTTAAACGTATCATCTTTTAATATTAAATATGCTGAAACAAAGACCTAGAAGGGTCAGCACTTTTAAAAAGCGGAATAAGCACAAAAAATTTTTTAACAATCTATTTTCTGTAACCAGTCAATACTTTATAAATTTTGCCCACATAATTTTTTTAAATTACAAAAAAAAACTTATATTTGAGTGGAAAAAAAACTATGGGGTTTAATTTTTTAAAAGTTGTTTTTAAAAATTTTTTAGTTTATAGACAACTGTGGAGATAGAGATATAAGTTTTTTGTATCGTAAGATATGAAAATAAAGTTTTTAATTTTTTTTTCTTATTAAAATGATGGTAAAAACCCTGGAAAAGTTTTAAAGGGGAAAAGGGTTGCAGTTTTATTGAAAAAAAAAATGGTCAGAGGATACACAACTTTTGTACACTAAGAACAAGTTTTTTAAGCGTTAAATAGGACGGGGCGATCAAAAAGGCATAAGTAAACGAAATTTCGAAAATACCCTTAAGGAATTCTCATTGGGGTTCCTAATTCCAACCTCCTATTAACGGAATTTGTGTTTTAAAACCTTCAAAATTACGTTTGCAAAATTTTTTCTTACGTCATTAGGTAAGTCTCATACTCGCCCCGTCAATCATTATGTTTCGAAGACGCAGTTTGGACATCCGTTATTTAAACGGGGATAACGGGAAAATGATTTAAAATCAAAGGGGTTCGGTTCTTTCGCCCCTATTAAAATTTTTTCCCAAACCCTCGGCACTAACCGGGGTTTTTACCCAACAGTTTTTTTTTTTGATAAAGAATTAAATCGAACCAATGGCTATTTTATGTCCTCTACAAAAGGTCCTTGGTTGTGCATTCACGTAAAAATTTTTTTCCTCTTTTTACTGAATGAAATAAAATCATTTCACGCGCAGCCATTGCAAATAAGTTACGCTATAAAAGCTGTACATACTATGATCAAAGCCGTGACGAAACTCCGGACGGAATATTGCCAGACAAAAACGGGTTCATGTACAGGATTTGTTGAATCATTTAAGCAGGGAGATATGATCGACGCTATTTCCGGACTCCAAATCGACTTCCAAAACGACTTCTCCTGGACGTAAGAAATTTCTATTTTGTTGCTTTTTATTTTATTTCTGTTAATATCATCGTATAATGCAAATGCGTTTACATTTATTAAATGCTTTTTAACTGTTACATCTAATTGAATTTCAAACATGCAATTTCTTTTACAATAATTAATATAAATTGTGTTCTGTAAAAATGGTAGCGTAATATTAAACAAGGTAACGTCTCTATTAAGACCTGATTCCCTACAAGACGAAAGTTTGGAATTTGACCAATCAGGGACAGTCACGCAAAAGGACGGCAAATCATCGTATGAGCTATTTAATATCCAGTCTTCAGAGAGTTCGAATGAAATCAAATTCGAAAAGGTAATATTTTTAAAACAGTTTTGAGGAAAGGTCTAATAGTATACTTTTATATAAGCTTTAATTGATCTTTCATTTTCTCAGCATTTGGCATAACCAATGTGATAATAACATATTAACCTTTACCCTGTTGGCGGCAACATATTCTACCCGTGCGATAACGTGCTGACCAAGATCAGCTGACACACCAGTGTCGCCTAATTATCGTGTGCATAGTTCGCTATACACTTAACACAAATTTTGAAACTTTCCCTCAAATGTTCTGTGGTTTAATCAAGAATGAAAGATGAATAAGTCTATTTAAGATATGAAGCATGGTAAGGAATGTCACATTTTTTGTATCTTTTCAAACGCGAACATTTTATCTTTATGGATGTGTTTTCACGGTCGGTAAAATATTGAATACATCACGAAATGCAATTAAAATTGATTATTGAAATAAACAGATACAAGGGTTACCTAAAAGAAAATTTATGTTCCTGTTTCTTAAACTCTCTGCTTATAGTGTTTGAGTTAGCTCGAACGATTTATATCTTTACTGAAATGCAATTGAATCAACTATTAAAATAAAATGGTTTAATATAAATCGTTTTAATGTTTATGTTCACGAATTCTTCCCTTTTCTATAACACTGTTCTAATTTGTATTTGATCAAACTGTTTATTTTATACACGACATGTTATTTTCATCTCGACTGAACAATTTATGCTCCGGTATATCTATTAACTCAGGAGGCGTAGTCTTTTTTAAATGTTCCGAAATCTAGGGGATTATTTTGACAGGCACTAATATAGACTTTTCTTTTTTGCTTTTGCTTTTAGCTCTAAATTGTTGAATACAATGTGTATATATTGTAGAATGTTTTATGCTTATAGGAAATGTAAATATAATCAGGGAATTGTGAGAATTTGCTGACAGAAGAGTTAATGATTTCTTGTTTGCATTTTCTATTCTAGTTATTATCATAGTTTGGGTTAGTGACGTATATATTCTCTGTTACCTGCCCCTGATACTGTACAGAGTATGCCGTGTATAAAATGTCATTTTCCTGTTATTTAGATAGGTAAAATGATTGGCAATGAAGTTAAAGTGGACTTGAATAAAATCCGTGATTACCGTGCATCTGGTGAAGAGTTACTGTGGCCAGACGTTCGCAGAGCCCAGTGTTCACCTGGTCAGAAATGCTCTGAATGCACGCCCTTATTAGAATTACAAGAACGTGTTTTATTTGAGCCAGGCGACGTATATTTAGTTGGTGTAGTTCCCATTTTTCATACGAGCGGTACGCAAGAGTGTGGTGCAATATCAGACAATAGCGGATACCAACTCGCTGAATCTATAAGGTTTGCCGTAGAAAAAGTAAACAAGAAAAGTGGTGATTATTCGAACTTCTATCCTGAGCTTAAAGTGGGCTCAATCATCATCAATTCATGTAGGAATCCAGCTGTTGTCCAAAGGAAAATATACGATCTACATGCTAATGGAGTTTCGATTGACAACAACACAGTTGTGAAGGTCGATGATAAAATTCTAGGTTATGTTGCCGAATACACAAGCACTGTTAGCATGGCTGTAGCTTCAACATTGTCGTTTCTGAAGTTTGTACAGATAAGCTACGCGTCAACAAGCCCGGCATTGAGTGACAGGTCTAAATTCCCGTACTTCATGCGTGTAGTTACACCGGATGATGCTCAAGCAAAAGCCATGGTAGAAATGATGAAGAAGTTGAATGCAGATTACATACAAATCATTCATAGTGCTGGCGATTATGGTGAAGCCGGTCGAGATAAAGTCAAAGAATTCGCAGCTTCTAACAAGATTTGTGTTATTCAGAACATTTCCTTTAACGAGGGCGATAGCGAGTTTCAAATCTATGACAAACTAAGAACATACGCTCAAGCAAAGATAGTTGTAGTTTTCTTGTACCCAGATCATCTTATTAAGATCATGTCTGCTTTCACTACACAAATGAAGCGAGGGGATTTCGTTTTCATAGGATCTGAAGCATGGGCACGTGATACAACCGTATTAGCTAGTGACAAAAACCAAATTCTTTTGGGTTCTTTCACCGTTTCACTCGAAATGTACAAAGACCGAGAACTTCGAAACCACGCCCAGAACATAAAATCTAAGACTTACATCGAAGATCCATGGGCTATGCTGTTTGTTCAAGCCGAGAGGAAGTGCTATTTTGATCTCAGTTTTGACAAAACACATGTCGAGCAATGCAATGACTCTAATGACTACAGTCAGGATCCAAACTTCAAACTAGATACATACGATACACAAGCTTACGTCGCAGCAAAGAGTCTCCTGGCAGGTGCAAATGAATTTCTAAAATCAAAATGTGGTTCGCACGCAAAAAACCTTTGCAAAGATTTCAAGGATAACACAAAAGGTAAGAAAGCATCTCTTAAAACCATACTAAAACACTTAACATGCATATTGCATAAGAATATTCGCTTTCATATATTGTATACAAGCTAAAATATCAAAAGTCATAACATAAGTAAACACCCATACATATATAATACTAGTAGTATACTGTATATTTTCAATTACGGTAGCGGTGACATTGACTGGGGACTTATTTATACCAATACAATGAAAAGTAAAGATGCGATCGATTCAAAAGTTAAATACATGGATGGGTCACACACTTTTAGCATAAAAAATGAATGAATACTAAATCGTTCTTTGAATAATGTTAGTACATTTTTCGGCTGGTAATTGTCAGATCTCCCGATCATAGTTATCAACAGACTGTCCAAATTACCTTGTTTATTAAATCCAAGGCGTCATTGGACCTACCGAAAACCATTTCAGCATACACCTTTGGAAAAAAGTTTCAAAATGCCTCCTTAACGTAACTTCTAAGTTTCATCGAATGTAGTGTTTATCGATGCGAACATTTGTTAGACAAATGCAGACTTGTTACCTAATTCTTCTATTGTCGTTAAGAGAATGAACATTTAAGATACTGGCTACCACGTTGTTCAAGAGTTGGAGAGTTAACATTTAAATAATATCTTTGCTTTTACTGTTTAGTCTTTTCAAGACATTTAGACAAAACCCAAAGCATTTGACATAATAAGCTGAACTTATATGATAATGTGTGGTCTTAATACAAAAGTTTTCTTCTTACTTTATTAATTTATACTTTATGAAACACATCAAATTGTGCATGTCTTGTAAAAAAGGTATTCAGATGCCATTGTTGTTTTAAGAATAATTGGCTTAATCTTATCGGGGCCATTCGCCTTGTAGGAATCTAGGTTAACAATGTTTTAAAACCAGACAGGACGTTTTTAATAGTTCACTGCCATAATTGCATTTGTTTAGTCTAGATACTAGTACATTAAATCATTAAAAAATAAAGTTTATTTCATTTATTTATTACAAATTAGTAAATAGATAAAAATCATATTCGATTCAACTCTTTATTGTGTTATTTACGGCTACCGACCAACACATAAACAATACATTACAAAATATCAATTAAGAGTGTAGGGGCTGTGAACATATACAAAATACATTTCAATTATCATAATAATATTGACTTTTGACAACACTCAACATACATTCGAGCACTGTAATTAATTGCATATGAAGTTACATATACACAGATAAATATACAACTGTATATGTTTCGTTTTTTTGCAGGCATGGTAAGTAAATGTATAATAAAATAAATGCGAGAAGTTTTTATATACGAATACGAATTTTATTACGCATGAAACAAAATACATTGCTTATAGCCAAATAACAATGATACCCATGTACAGACATGTACAGAAAAAAAAAACAGTTAACAATACACAGTTTTCTGAAGAATACAAGTTATTATAGGAACTATACTTATTTTCATTAATATAGTCTGACAGAAAAAATAGCAGATTAAGAGATACGTTTATGATTTGCCCAATACAAAAATTTAGCTAAGGCACCTTTAGTTTTCTTTGGGTCTGACGACAAGAGACTAACAAGTTCATGATGGCAATAGTCAATGGAAATAGTACGGTTTAAAATATATGTTCGAAGATCTTGGTAGTTGGGAAATTCAAGGAGAAAGTGGTATTCACTCTCTTCATATTGCATGATTTACATATTCGCTGTTCTCTATGAGTGTTTTCATATCTACCAGTTTCTGTAAATAAATTATGGGAGGAAGTTCGAAATCTAGTTAAAGCTGTTATATATTTACTGTCTTGGACATAATCTAAATACTTTTCCATTTCAAAAGAATGTTTAAATATGAAGTATATTTGTAATTTTGGTGAATTATTGATAGATACTTACCAAGTTTGTAGAAAAGTGTCAATTAATCTTTGTTTAATAGTATCATATGGTATATCTATATCAAACTGATTGTCCCAAATATGTGAAAAGCCAAGAATTGACAAGATGTCTTTTATAAAAGAAGTCCATTTTCTCCGTTAAAATGTCGACTAACATCTGTATCTGACTTGAGAAGTAAATACGCTTGCTTTACGAGTGATGAATGATTAAGTTTAAGATTTTTTTACCAATATCTTATCATGTTATGTTTTCTAGTAATATGTAACGGATAACGACCAAGCTCACCATAAAGCGCTGACAAATTAGTTAATTGTTTGACCCCTAAGACTCTCCGCAAAAATTCACTATGTATTAATTCTATATCTTTAGCATCGTGCATTCCCCATATCTCCGATTTTGAATTCAAAATGGACCGACTAGAGAATCAAATAATTTACATTTCTGATAAATTGGTAGTTCTATGTTAATACTTTAAACAGGTTATGTAAAGCAAATGAGGCATGTTGAGCTATTCTGTTTTGGGTTCTAAACCAATTGCCATTTTTAAAAAGAGTAATTCCAAGTTATTTAAATGATTTTACAAGTTCAATTGGTGTGCTATAAATATGAAAAGTATGCTGAGTATACCTGTCCTTTTTCAAAAATCATTGGTTTTGTTTTAGACGTTTTTATTTTCAAACCCCATGTATTACAATAAGTTTCAATATCCGTTAACATTGCCTGAAGAGATTCAAGGGGGTTTAGCCAAAAGTACTTGGTCGTGTGCAAAAATCATGAGTTCGTTAACTGTAAAAATACCTTTAAAATCAGTGTTAATAATGTCTAGAAGGTCATTTGCGTAGAAAGTTTATATATAAGATGTTCAAAACAGTGTTCATTATTTCATTTTAACAGGGCTTGTTAATGAAATATTGAATATTAAGATGGACTTGGATGGATCAGGGAACAAGATGAAAGTTTTTGACAAAAACGGTGATGGAAATGTAGGTTACAGAATCTACAACATACAAAAAGATGACGACGACCTATCAATGCTTCTTTATAAGGAAGTAAGTATTCCATCGCCATGCCTACTTTTTAAAGCTTTATATTGAGATTTCTTTGTTGGATATTAATTTGTTTTTGACATGACGGAATAGGATTTTTTCCAGATTTGTCCATATTTGAACAATATTTTTTTTAAACTTTCACATTGTTTGCTAATACATTTTTTTCCTGAATAATAAATTTTATTTTGCAAAATGACCCAAAATTAAGTGTTTAAACGACTTTTACTCAAATTGGACTAAGAAAGACATTTTACCTATCAAAAAATTTATTGGAACGGTAAAAAGCAATTTTTTCAAGTCAACTTATGATTTCGTTGAACAACAGGTTGGAAGGTATCCATTGGAAGGCACTTTTACGTTTGAGGCAAGCAAGATAAGCTATCCGAATGATGTGTCAATTGTTTCAAGATGTCCTAATAAACAAGCATGTAGTAATTGTTATGCGGTATCAAAGGACACAGACATTATTGACAAAGACTCAAAAGATGGGTATGTATTCAAAGTTTTATTGCTATTTTATAAATGATAATTTACGCGTCATTCTCAGTTGATGGTGTGACGAAAAAGCAAAGAGCTTAAGCCTTACAGAAGGCTGAAAGACGTACCGTGCTTCAGTAAAAAACGCTGTCAGCTGTTCACGTGTTTTTTCTTCTTTACAAATAGTGACTAGTATATAATGTATCTTGTTTATTCCTAATTTAGTTCTTTTGACGTTTTGTTCCGCCAAAGGAAAAAATGTCCTCGTTATTGAAAACGAATTAAAAATAATTTATATAATATCTTGATTCGAGACTTGCAAGAATATGATATAAAATTGTGAAATTCAAAGGCTGTACATTTATACAAGTTATACATTAAATCATATATTCATGAAATTTTATTGTTAGTTAAAACTATTTTCATTCAATTATCGACAGTTCTATTTAAAACTATAAGCATAACGATTATCAAATAATATTATTTCATAATTACCTCATTATTTTGACGTGTCCGTTTCCGGGACATTTATGAAGTTAAATAAAAATGTCCATGAGCATATTACACAATAATTGTCCATTTAATAATGTGGTAGGGCTTTGTTTTATTACTTTGAAGAACCCAAATAGGTATTAAGATTTCATCCTAAATAATCATTCAATATGCCTAATACATAGTTTAAATGCATTAATAAAACTGGATACGCATACATTGCATTTAAATAAAGTAATTTTTATTTTTTTTTCTATTTAAATTATCAAATTTATAACACGGAAATAATGATAGTAGTGTGTCAAATAATACGGAAATTAATTTGTTGACTGTATGTTTCAGTGTTTTTTTTTTCTTACTCTATTTAACATTCAGATAGCGTTCATCTTCAATGCGGTAACGCGAAAGTTTTTTTTTTTGGAGTTTACGATTTTGGGATCTTTTTTTTCTTTTGATAATTCATTTTAATGCAGATGAATGAATTATAATGGGCGTCACATATTAATGTTTTCTTTTATAGGAATCACTATGAAAGTTGCCTTTAATTGTCAAGTTACAAAAAAATCAATAAAAATCTTAAAGCAATCTTTGTACTATAAATATATTTCATGAAACAACAAAAACAAACTTGAAAAACATTATTCAAATTTTCAATCCTATAGTTTCACATGATCATTTAGATAAATACTTTAACTATCTTCCTGTTTGATATTTAAGCCGAGTTTTAGGCATGATCACGTATTTTTGAATAAAAGAAATTAAAAAAGTCAGATGAGCTTCGACCCGAATAAGGAAGTTTTTTTCGATGAACCAAACGTAATTCTCCTTTACAACCCGTATAAACTGGGTGATCATGTAACGTCGTTCAATATTTGAAAAAGTTAAAAAGGTTCCCTGTGGGAAACATTTTTAGTAATTTACATTCTAGCTGTAGTATTTAAATAAATAAATAAATAAATAAATAAATAAATAATTAAATAAATAAATAAACTATGCAATGTTGACTTACCAATCTTACATGTACGGTTAACATATTATGTGCTCCTCCAAATTTCAAATTTCAAATACGGGTCACATGACCCTCCTTACATCAAAAAATACATTGCAATCAAATATGTATGCGAACAAATACCATGTTCCAGGTAAATATTTGTAGATTCAAATGGTGTATAATTGTCAATTGTAGCTCTTTTACATTGCCCGTTTTATTATGCTTGCAAAATGTTTTATGCGGCATTATTGCATAATGTTACTATAATTAGTAATAAAAATGCGTTTCATTTTTCTGAATATGACATGCGAAAATCCCGTATTTGAGCAAGTGTGCAAATAAGCCATATTGGCGCACTTGCCAAGTGTGCCAACATCCCATATTAAGGCTATTCCTGGTCATCACTCACCTGTTGTCCGCAAAAGAAAGGTCGTCGAGAGGATGTTGAATCTTTGGCGAATTGCTTGATGGATTAAGATAATCTAATCGAACACCAAGGACAGCCAGCTGACACTTTTGTGGATTAACTATTTATTTTATACATTGAAATATCTATTTTCAAGCAATTAATAAATATATTAGAACAATTACGTTATTGCTTGATTTAATTCCAGTCTGAAAAATTGCTGCGGAACATATGCAATAAACAGGTCATTACATGTGGCAAGTGTGCTTCCATTGAGTTATGATATTTTTTTCATCCGCATTCAGATATAGTCCGGCTACCGTGAAAATTATATTTTATTTTATAAATTTCACAAGTGGTTTATCATAATATAATCATCTGATATATTACAGTCAAACAATGGATAGCATGAAATAATTGTATCATCGTCATCATTTAAATTATTAATTGTATTTTTTTCTAAAGTATTTTAAGATTACACTTAGTTTAATTACGTTTTCTTTCGGTATTTTCGTTGGTGTAATCATTCTCATTAAAATTTCGATTTGATTTATCTATCAATTGCTTAAGTATATTCTTTTCAAATTTAAAATGACATTCAGAAGTATTCATATTGCTAAAAAATCCTGTTCCAATGTAAACCGCTATTCATAATCTTAAAACAATATACACGATCACGGTAGAAATGAATTGAAGCGAATGTTTTGTACGTGCCGGCGTCTTCGGTCTTTGCTCATGGATAGTGGAATTGTATGTGATTATGGGTAACATTAACTTGGAAACGTTAAAAAACGCAATTAATAATATTTGAATAATCATCATTCTTACAATTATATACCACTTTCAAAACTAAAACATTAACTTATATTAAAAAATATGATATAAAACAGATGACCATTGAGATTTATGCATCCATGCAAAACTGATTTGATACATGAAAACTTTTACTCTATTGATTTCGAATCTCCTGATAGTCAAAACATTTCATTACCAAAGCTAGAATCTGTGGTACTTTTTATTTTGGGTCAAAAAATCGCTTCTACGTTGTAGATGGGAGAAATTGCCAGTGCATACATCAACTCATAGTACAGTTTTTTTTACTAACCATACATTGTATACTTCAATGCTTGCAATGCTTTGATTCTTTCAGCGACTTAAAGTGATCTACTGTTGGGTTTTTTACAGGGAAACGAATGTTGAAGGGATTATGGTGAAGGTTCTGGGTGCGTTGTTTGGGGTAGCTGTTATTATAGGAATTGTCCTTGCAGTATTACTCTGCAGGCAAAAGAAGCAATGTAAACAAACAAATTTCATATTTTTTTCTTACTTATATTATATTACATTACATTTTTATTATATTATATTATATTATATTACAATACATTACATTACATTTCATTAAATTATATTATATTATATTATTATATTATATTATATAATATTATATTTTATTATATTATATTTTTGCTTATTTTATATTATCCTAGAATGAATTTTTATAGATCAGTGACGGTAAAGATATATGTTCCTAAAGGTTTTTACAATGTAAAATTTGAATCTTATTAGAGTATAGTGAAGTATTTTTTTTCTGATATTTAACCTCAAATCAATTTATATCAATAACATTGTTTTTTTTTTGTTTTTACACGAGTTTTACATAAAAATGTTTTTTATTATTATTTTACCTAGACACCCAGATTTTTGTCATTGGATAAACACATTTGTTCTTCATTGTGTTTGTTTTCAATACCCAGTTGTATATTTTCAGTCGATAGCCCTCATATATATATGCGTGCGCGAAATGGCTTTGCGAATGACTGTGAAACCGTGTCGAGGGAGGCAACCACACCAAGTAAAATATACATGGAAATACCTGTGCAGCATGAACGTAGATATGTGCCTATGAGCAGTGCTAGTGCAAGCCCTTGTGACACCGTGTAAATAACACGACACCGTTTAAATGTCTCAGAATTCTTCAGTATATAGCTAAAACAGTATTTTTACATTGTCTGTTGTATTATAATTTTCAATTTGTCCAAATCATATTCATGTACTTTCCTATATTCCAAAGGGTCATAATTTAAGCTGGACTAACACTCTTTTAATAACTTGTATAGTTAAGACAAATCCGCGATAATCACATGTTGGAGAAAGAATAAAATTTTGTGACATGTAGTCACGGGTTTTTTTCTTATATGCATCATGGTCATATTTTATACTCATACGCAAAATATGTTTGCAATATATAACCTTTACAAAGTATATAACTTGCCACAGTGTAGTTCGAAGAAATTCTACACGTTCCTCAAACAATATTTCTATTGTTATACGCCCGAACATAAGTCGGTTTTTATTGTTATACACCTGGTCTTCCGTCCACCTGATAGCAAATTTGTGTCCGGTCTGTATCTTTTTAATCGGTTGAAGGAAATTGAAACTACATGTATTGGTGTACTTGGCAGACACGATTATCAAATGGAGACAATGTCAAGAGCGCAGCTTTGACCTTCCTCAGATCAAAGACAAGGTCACAGTTATCTTGTGTGAATTTTGAAATTTCGTGTCCGCTCTGTATTGTTTAACCAAAATACAGAAATTAAAACTTTCCGGCAGAAATATCACTTACAATTAGACGATGTGCAGAACACAGGTAAAAAATTATTTTATTTTATAGACTTATATAAGAACGCACATTTTAGTTTAATTGTTCGAAACTTTTAAGTCTAGAGCGAAGATATTTAGCATGGAGCATTACTTTATTAACCTCCACAAAACTGATATGAATGATGGTTGTTGGTTCAATATTTGCCCTGCCCCAGGGAGACTTTTTGTGTGAAACTACGCTGACCACAGCTTTAATATTTGGCATGTAATTTCGCATTGTGGACCACAACATAGCTGGTATTTAAATGTCCCCTTTTGCGAATATTGGTTTCCGCTCCGGTGGTCACTAAGTTAATACATTTTTGTATAGGAAACACATTCAAGTATTATTTTGTGAAACTACAATGCCTAGAGCTTAGACATTTAGCGTGTAGATCTTGAAAACTGAAATTTATCGTGCCCCTGTTGTCACTATTGTTTAGCATTTAGGTAGCATGATTTATATCGACTTAAACGTGTATAGGAAAATAACTTGAGTATTATTGTGTGAAACTATAAAGCATAGATATTTGACATGTAGCATCAATTTATAGATATCTACTAACGTTATATTTATCATGACCCTCCATTCAAAATTGGCCCTGTCATGGAGTCACTTGCTTTATATAGATTAAGGTAAAGGAAAACACCTATTATATTTTCTGGATAACTACTATGCCTCTTTATTTCGTATATATCATTGCCTAATTTAATGAATCATGCAACTAGAGTAAAAATACCCCTCTTTGAAGGTCATATGGTGTCATAAAGATTGAACATTTTACAGACACAATTCTGGATTAGATCTATTCCCTAATTTGATTTTTCTATTACTCAAACAAATTTACATTGAGCGTATATTGCTCCGCCTTTGCAGTGCTCTTGTCTTCTATAAGCAAGCTGTTGTAAATGTGCATTATGTATGAAACTATAGACAAGTATGACAGTATATATAAAGACAAGTTTGAAAGTGTATCTATATACAAGTTTGACAATACCTTTGACTGTGTATCTATAGACAAGGTTGACAGTGTATCTATAGACAAATTTGACTGTGTATCTATAGATACGTTTTGCAGTGTATCTATAGACAAGTTTGACAGTGTATCTATAGACAGATCAGACAGTGTATCTATAGATACGTTTTGCAGTGTATCTATAGACAAGGTTGACAGTGTATCTATAGACAAGTTTGACAGTGTATCTATAGATACGTTTTGCAGTGTATCTATAGACAAGTTTGACAGTGTATCTATAGACAGATCTGACAGTGTATCTATAGATACGTTTTGCAGTGTATCTATAGACAAGTTTGACAGTGAATCTATAGACAAGTATGACAGTATATATATATAGACAAGTTTGAAAGTGTATCTATATACAAGTTTGACAATACCTTTGACTGTGTATCTATAGACAAGTTTGACAGTGTATCTATAGACAAATTTGACAGTGTATCTATAGACAAGTCTGACAGTGTATCTATAGACAACTTTGACATTATATCTATAGACAACTTTGACATTATATCTATAGACAAGTTTGACATTATATCTATAGACAAGTTTGACAGTATATCTAAAGACAAGTTTGACATAACTATAGACAAGTTTGACAGTGTATCTAAAAACAAGTTTGACTTTATATCTACATACAAGTTTGACACACAAGTTTGACAGTATATCTATAGACAAGTTTGACATTATATCTATAGACAACTTTGACATTATATCTATAGACAAGTTTGACATTATATCTATAGACAACTTTGACATTATATCTATAGACAAGTTTGACATTATATCTATCGACAAGTCTGACATTATATCTATAGACAAGTTTGACAGTATATCTATAGACAGGTCTGACAGTGTATCTTTAGACAACTTTGAAATTATATCTATAGACAAGTTTGACAGTGTATCTATAAACAAGTTTTTTAGTGTATCTATAGACTAGGTTGACAGTGTATCTATAAACAAGTTTGACAGAACCTTTGACTGTGTATCTATAGACAAGTTTGACAGTGTATCTTTAGACAAGTTTGACTGTATATCTTTAAACATGTTTTACTGTATATCTACAGACATGTTTAACTGTGTATCTTTAAATTAGTTTGACTGTAAATCTAAAGACAAATTTACTGTATTTCTTTTCACAAAATTCACCGAACAAGTATATATTGATTAACTGTTTGACAAGTTTCACTTAATTTCTATCGACAAGTTTGACTATCTTACAGACAGGTAAGACTGTATATTTAAAGACAGGTTTGACTGTGCATTTATAGAGCTATTTGGTTGTATATTTGTATATTTCTATTGAAGATTTTATGATCACCACAGTAACAACACAGCTGTGAGCACAGGCGCTAGTCACATAATCAAATATTTTACATAATCGGTCTATATATGTATATAAAGATATAAGGCCCCCCAACGAAACAAAAACATCATGCAGAACAAACAAGTGATCAGTCTTTAACAATATTTAACAATATAGCAATAACAATAAAAGTTCTAACAGACATAAGTAGCACATATATGGCTTAATTGAAAAGCCACATAAACATATCTGAAATAACATTTAAAAATACATATTAACAAAAAGCCGGTCCAAAATACTCGAGCGTAGTAATATATGCAGACGTATTCTATTACGCAGATAAAATACAGTTCTCACTTAATAAAATATGATAAAGACAGAAAATCATCCGGCTCAAATCAGGCTTACAATTATTTTTACATAAATAAGAAATCCTGAAAGTTTAAATGTAAACAAATATACATTCATAAAAAGCCAGACTGAAATACAAATAAGTAGTTCCAAAGTTCTGTGTCCGCCATTTTTAAACATGGAAAATGACAGAAGAAAGCGCCGTCTGAATCTTCCAATAATGTCTGTAGATATTCACTTTGTGATATATTATAGTAACTGTAAATGTTCCAAATTATTAGATATTCATCAGGAAATAAATTAGGGTCATCTGACCATTTTGTGGCGAGAGTTTTCTATCCTTAAAAGAGAACTGTCAACAATGCTGACATTCAAGTTTTACGTTGTGTTTCGTGGAATAAAGTCCATTTGTTAAAAAGGTAGCACTATTTGATCATTGTTAATACATTTAAAGTAAGAACAGTTCATGATTTATAGAATTATATATGCACATGTTGATTTCTGTTGAAAGTATAACGTAAATTGTCATGTCATTTGAAATGTCCAAAATTTGTAAGGGAGGTATTCCATTACAATATCTTTTTCCTATTTAACACATCTAGAAATCAGACCTTTTAGCGTAATGAAATTGTCAATATATTTAGAGGCTCTAAAAATGCACACAATAATGCAAATTGGAATCAGGTGAACATTACATTATATTAACAACATTCATCGTTTAAAGGTACATTATGCCTCAGAAACGAATACAAATTTTCCTTTCACATGAGTTTTATAACGTTTTAAAAGAGTTTTAGGGCATGTTATGTGCTTATTGCCTGAAGCAAATGACGCTGAACTTGAAATTATTTGTCATAAAAATAGCAAAACGTAAACAAAGTAGTTTGACTTCCATACGAAGTACTAAGTCTCTATAACTGTACTTTTTCCAAACAGCAAGAAAAGCAAAAGATGGTTCAAGTGTTTAGCCCAGAAGTAATATTTTGGAAACTTAATATTAACAGAACATGAAAAATAGAAAGTTTTGAGAAACAATTATAAAAGCTTTTTTAGAACATAATGGGCCTTTAACATAATTCTCTTTGTACAAAAGCGCATTAATAACCACTAATTGCTTACACATTTTAATGGCATATAAATACTATATATATACTTGAAATGAGAGAATATCCTATCAGTGTAGAATGTGTTTGGAGCAACAACTGAAATCTCTAGCTGGGTAATTTGAATGCGTTTGTTTTACCCAGAAACACAAACTTAGTTATAACAATTTGGCTCGAACCTTTGTGAAATATACAATTATTCTGTGTAAGAAGTGATAACTACGTTGGTAAGAGTTATTTTATATTTTGTGAGTTACAGTTTTGCTCGTACTTCGATTAAAAAGTAAAAAAGTGGTTTTAAAATTTTCAATACATGCTTGACGGGTTCCTATCAGGACTTCGTTCACACAAATATCATACTATAAATATATATGACAGAAATACATGTATATAATACAATATGAAAATAGCAGATCAATGAGCATGTATAGCTGTCCTGTGATCAACTTAATGTGAATTATTTTAAAGCTGAGAAAAAAAAAGCAAAACAAACAACGTCCTGATAGCTTGATACATTGTCTGACATTTATTGTGAAGTTATAAATTTGAGAAAAAACAACAACGTACTTATGACCTGATAATACGTTAACGGTAATGTGGATACTTACTTGTGGAAAATGTAATAACATGTAAATAAAAATATCAGAAAATATTTGGAATAACATTTTAACTGTTTCATCGAATTAATTTAATTACGTCTTCAATGCGTAGATGTATGTCTTGACCTGACTTTGCCTTCGAACAGATTCATAGCTCTGGCTTGCAATTTTTTACAAAAGATATATATATACAAATGCCTAAAACAAAACTTTGATTTCAACAGTTGGACAAAATGAGTTCAGAATCGTTCAATCTGGCAAACTGCAAATAAAAAATCGTGCAATCTGGCAAAAACAAACTGCAATAAAAAAATCATACAATTTGGCAAAAGAAACTGCGATCAAGAAAAATCGTGTAATTTGGCAAAAGAAACTGCAATCAAGAAATCGTGCAATCTGGCAAAAAACTACAACCAAGAATCGTGCAATATGGCAAAAACAAACTGCATACAAGAAGTGTTCCTTTTGGCAAAATAACTTTTTATAAGAGTACAGTTTGGCAGAAAAAAATATCAAGCAAGAAATATTCAGTCTAAAAACAATACAACTGTTAAGGCAATGAAAAATAACAAGCAAGCTTAAAACGAAAACCATATGTTGATATAAACGCAGCTTCAATGATAAGTCAAGACCAAGTCTTAGTTGACAATTAACGAGGAGCCTTATTACCATAGAGACAAGAAAATAATGTACTTTTCTTAACATATAGCTGGAATATATAATAAAGTGACTTATTGAGAGTGTCAATTAATTGTTAACATCCATAAGAAATTACACAATTTCCATTCTGAGTGATTGATAAATGATTAATTAATTAAATTATTTCGTATCATAAGCAAGTGATTTTTCCGTTAATTTTTTATTAAAACAGAAATGTGTAAAGGATAAAATAGAATGATTTTTATTTTTTGTTTGTATTTTCTCTACAGTTTCTAATATTTTTTATATACAAGTAAAGGGTAGACAACAAACATTAAAATGCATTAAACTTGTTGAAAGTCTATTTTTGATTTGCAAAATGAACACTATAAACCCGATCAATAATAAGTCAAATACAACAGATATCAATGATACATACTTGGGTGAAATAATTTATACATACTGGGATATTAAAGATGTATATGATAGCAATACATACATGAATGATAGCAATACAGACATGAATGTCACAAATTTTAGATACTCGAATGACTTTACTATATTTAAAAAAAAAAATAGGGGTATCATTGCATTACATTGAAATATGTTTATTTGTTATAGGACTTTTAGGAAATTTAATCTCACTTATTGTGTGGGTGAGAGGAAAAAACACAAGAAAACTTGCGTGTGCAACATACTTTATATATTTGTCCACCTCTGATGGTCTTTGTTTGCTGTTTAAAATATTTTATAATTTGACCACAATGCATTTTGTCTTTGGAGGAATATGTATACCTTTTTTAACAACTGCCTACTTGTTTCCTCAACTTTCCTCCTGGATCATTGTTTGTATTTGTGCTGAAAGAATGTTGAGTATTTGTTTCCCTTTAAAATTCAATACAAAGGGGGCTGGAAGGAGAGCACATTTTTGCTTTATTTCGCTTTTGATTTTACTTGTAGGAATTAACCTGACAAATGCAGTTTTATTGTGTAAAGGCATCTTCTCTAACTATTCAATTGAACACAATAAAATGGGAGAACTATCTGTAATATATGTACTCTGTGTCTTTCCTCTGTCATTCATTACAATATGTAACGTTGTTACTTTTTCAATTCTTTACAAAAGGAAATCATCAGCTGTAACCAGTCGCAGACGACATTTGACAAAATTCACGCGCTTAAGTATAGCTGCGGGAATCTTCCATTGTGTTTGTGTTGTCCCGATCATGGTTGCTAAGCTCATCGAGTATAGGTATATTGAAAACATGTTGACTGAATATCAAACTATTATTATTAATAAGCTTGCAGAAACGTTTCTATACATAAATAACGCTTTTAGTTTTATACTCTACTCAGTGTCATCAAAAGGTTTCCAGCAAGATAGTAAACAACTGCTTTGTAAGTTTAGGCAAAGAGAGTAAGAAAGAACAAAGAACAATGGTCAGTTTCAGCTTCATCACAAATAATATTTAAAATCAGTCTAAGAAGAGGAAAAATTAAAATTACCAGTTTTCCTCTTGGGCTGATCGATTTGGCTTTTGGTCAATGTATCATTTTCAGGATTTCTTTCATAAAAAATGTCTAGTTTTCTTGTAAACATATATTTCTTTTCTAATTCTCTTCGGCATTATGTGTATGCAAATGCCTAGATACTACTCATTATAGTTTGTAGATGCACATAGATATAAAAAAAACCCGCAACATTACTTTATAGCTTGTTTATTTGTATCTATACTTGTAACATATATAACACTACTATTTTCAATATACATGTATTTTATATTAAATTGTTAACATGTATTATTTTTACCTTTGATTAATGTACTTATTACCGGTACAATATATGGGTTTTATAACAAACATGGTTTAATTTTAACACAGATGTAGTTGTATTTGATGTTAAGAAAAACAAAGTACCTTTGTCAAAATTGAGTTTTATACAAAGTGAAGAATGTTTCTTTTCGTGGTCTTGACGTTTGAGTTTATTCTTCTAGATGGCACGCCTCCATGGTTAGAGAAATTTTCAAACAATTCTTACTTAAGAAATATTTTTATAGTTTAAGGAAAATTCCAAATCAAAATGAACGTCTGACTATTAGATGCACACCTTTAAAATTATATCATTTAAAATTTAAGAGAAATCTTTGAATATTTTGACAAATTATAGGTAGTTTTTCTGGATACTAATAGACTTAGCTAGGATAAATGAATGTCCTTTTAAATTTGTACATTTGTCAATAATTTTTATCATGATTCGATGTTTAAATTTCCAAAAATATCAACACACATGTAGGATCGTGCATCTTTAGAGTGCAACTTTATTACGATATAATGATGTTTTGTTAGGACCATACACCACTGTGACTTAGATTTGTGTTAATTAAAAATGTAAATATTTATTCAAATATCTGTTAATGATTGACGAAATGATTACTTTGTTGTTGTTGTTGTTGTTGTATTCCTCGATATATTCTACCCTTAGCATGCTGAACTTTATATAATGGACTTTTCCAACTTCCATTTATGGAACTATCCATTAACTTTTTTATCAGGATATCAGTATGAAAATTAAAATTTTTAAAGTGACCAGTATAGAGTCTGTTTAGACTAAGGTGTAGAAACAAGAATACTAGTAATGTTTAAAAGAAATATCTGGTAACAAGTGATACCTCATAAGCATTAAAATCAGCAAAATTACATGAAAATTGTAGAGTCGGTTTGGTTGAGGCTGTACAAGTGCAACATCCCCACGAACCATAGCACCAGCTTGAGCGGTACGCAATTTTTATCATGTTTGACATGTTTTGTTTATGTAAATAACACGTACTGTCTGTCATTTCCATTGTTTGTTGTTTTCTGTTTTTATAATTATTGTAATAAGGTGGCGATTTGTCTAAAATAAACACCACTTAAGGTGTTAGAAATGTTAAAAATTAAACGAAATGACAATCGTTTTTATTGACATGTATTGTGTGTGTAAAAGTCCGTGTTGTTTGTATTTACCATAGTTGTATGCTTGCCAAATGTAAGGTGAGGGTCCGACTGAGGTTGGGTTTTTCCTTTGGATATGACGGGACTGGCAATATTCTGAGTGATTTTTATACTAAACGGACTATAAGAAAAGGCGTAAAAAATCACTAAAATTGAATTCTTAGTAGAATTCTTTCTTATATTTTTTCAAATTTCCCCGTTTTAAGTGTTTCTGTTCATATATGTAGGGTTTTCAAATTTTATGATTTTAGGCTTTTGGGCCTCAGTGGAGTACTTTTCAGGTTTTATAACTTCATGTTGTACCATAGTCATAGAATATACATATAGAAGAAAAAAAACTGATCACGTGAATTTTATTGACTATTTATGAAAAGTAAGGTTTAGAAAAATAGATTTATTGATTGTTTAGTATTCTGTGTAAAAAAACTTGTTTTGTTACTGTGATTTTTTGCTTTATACTATTATTTTTTTATTTTTTAATAAAAGTGGCATGCTGAAAATCTTTTAATTTTACCAAAAACCACACATAGCTCCAACTCTGTACCAATATTAGTAGTGTCCTCACACCGTTCTTATAAAAGGTTCCAACTCCATACCTGTATAAATAAAGTCTTAACATAAAACCAACATAGAGCACTTATCCTGTACCACGACTAAAATTGGGTCTTAATTCTATACCAAATACCAGGTTGGTCTTAAACCTTACTATTATGAGGTCACAGAACTGATCAATCAGAAAAGAATCAACTTTGCACAAATATCATGTCTAACTTTATTACACCATTTGACGACATCTCACCTCTTGCGGTTAAGGGGTTGTCTTTCAGGGTTAAGACATCAGAATTACCGCCACCGTTTATCTCTGCGTGAACGTAAGATAAATATCTCTGTTGCTTTAAGTTCGAAACACCCGAGGTAAGCCGAATTCATCTTTCCTGTTTCGGCGCCATATGACCTAAAATGTGTTGGTGCGCAGTGAAACCAAAAAAAAAATAAATATATATATATATATATAGTCCTTTCATTATCTGTTTACATCAATATTGACATATAGGAGTGTCGAAAATTCTTATATAAAAAAAACGATTTATCGCAACCTAATTAGTTACTTATTCAGCATTTCAAACCGTAATATTAGCATAGTAGTAGAGTGTCCGCTTCGTAAGTGTTGAGACCCTGGTTCGGATCCTGGAAAATGCATTTTTTATCTTACATTATTTTTCTTGTTTTAGAAACATTGCAGCTATTTGTATTTTAGGTCCTCGTACATTTTTTAAACAAATGGATATATACAAATTTGACAAAATTGTGAAAAATTGTGGGTAATGAATTTAAGAGATTCAAAAACAATCTAAAAATACTATTCAGTTCGATATAATGATGTACATTTTTTCACCTTCTACGTTTAGATTTCAGCTGAATGATTAAAATAAAACAATGTCATGATAAAACGTTTATAAAAGAGAAAATGAACAATCATGTGGAAAACTATTAAGACTATTTGGAAAGTAAAAAGCATACTGAAAATGTACGCGACTGCAGATCCGAACTCGAAAAAACATTTTCATAACCTAAACGCTCTAATCACTACGCTTCTCGGGTTAATGTGTCTATACCAACTTTTATTCTATTCTATTGCAATGAAAATGCAAAATGTAATAAAAAAGAACTTGCATAACCCATTATACCACCGAATAGAAAGAGTTGTCTTTTTCGACTTACATCAAAATATTGTCCTAAAAAAACACACATAAGACATTTCCATCTTTCAAAGGAATGTGTTCAAGAGTTTGAAACAATTGGCTGATATAAGTGTGAAGAGCATTTTGTAGAAAAGCATGCGTGCGTGGCCGAGTGGGTAAGGTCATTGATTTTAAACCAGTTACACTTCAATTGCTTTGGGTTCGAATCGCGCCAGGGATTTTGCATGCTTTCTTGAAAGACAAATCAGACAGAAGTCTAACAATTGAATTTTAAGACACCCTTTGCTGGATGTCTTCTCGTTTAAGAATGACAATGTCATTTGCTCTAGCCGGGTCGATCGTCAACAACATACCGGTGAGTATTTAGTTTAGGATAGCACATTACCTTGCTGTATAAGTATGCGTTATTGAGAATTTACATAGAGGCGAAAAACATGCAAAACGTGCTTGTTTACTGTATGTTAGCCGAAAATACAAAAAATTACTTTTGAAAAAAAAAAAAACAGATCAACCAAAGTTTCTTGACTGCTGTAAAGAACGGTATTAAACAATCTTTTATTAAACAGTTATGTTTTTTAATAATAAACGTCACGGCAAAAATGGTTATTTTGATGAAATATCTGTTATAGAAATAACTATTTCTGTGAAATATATTAAATAAATTCGATGAAAGGGAAAAACTAATATTCTCTGAATGTCAAATGAAACGTTTATGTAAATCATGTAACTAGATAATTATGTTTGATGAATTTGAATAAAGGAAGTGGTATTTGTAGGATTGTTGACTTAAATGTCATTAGCGATTTTTTATAATAACATGACAAGTAACGAATCACGTCTCATTCCTGAATAAAAGCTTCGCACACAAATATTCAATAATGGAGAAGACAACATGCATTAACGGGACCATGAGCCGATGTTGCACGCACTTGATAATGCCTCAGTCACAAATGACAAACAGCCGCCGAGTTTTAAGTACTACTTAAAAGCTAACGGCGTCCGGGCGATAATTTTTGGAGGAAGTGAGTTAAAAAAGTTATCTGGCGGGGTTCGCCCGGTTGCTGGGCAGGGCCCGGGCGCTGTTTTTTTTGGATCGGACGATTTGTTTTACATAAAAAACACCGTCCGATTTTAAAGGCACTCGGGCGGACATCCGATCCGTTTAAAAATTGCACAGTCGCCGTCCGGACATCATCCGGCGTCCGGCCGGTTTTTGTATGCTTTCTGTAACACCAATTGATACGACCCATAATCGCCCGATGACAGTTTCATTCATGTCCACGCAAGGTATTAGATTTAAAAATCTTACGGCGTTCGCGAAATCGTCCAAGTCGCCGATGTTGTAAAAATCGTTTAATCGGGCGGCGGCCGTTTTATTTGTGGCCTAGGCATAAGTATGACTCTTGGTGCAATGTAAGTATATCTCAATGCAATTATAGCCCCAGTAGTATGACTAGCAAATGGTATCGCACAAGCACGTGTAAAGCATGGCACAACCAATGGTTTCTAAAAACAAAATACAGGTAACGAAGCAGATAGTTACCAGGGTATGGGCTTATATCGAGATGAAACTATTCAATCTCAAAGTCATTCTATGGTAATATAATATACATAACAGCAAAATGGTTTCTTGAATGCTATTAAAACAATGTACGACAATGTGTTATTTATCAAATGGTTTCATTAAAGGGAAAAAATAACATTCTCGGAAAATTAAAATAGCAAACTATAATGTAACCAGCTATATTAAACGTTAGTAATTATCTTTTTCGTCTACACAATTATCAAATTAATCAAATTTTATGGAAAATAAATACTTTACTCACATTTGTTGTAATAACATATCTAATAACGTAAAAATTATACTGTGTTCCTCTAAATAATAATCATTATAGCCATTACACAAATGTCATGCATGATTGACGTTGTTACAGCTC